GGTGTGAGGTTCTGGGAGAGACTTTAAAAACCAGTCAAGAAAACATCAGGTTGAGGAGAGTTGGTTCCCACTCAGATGCAAGGTAGACAACAGCAAACTGATGTAGACATAACAAATACCCATTTTTGTTCTTTATTGCTTCTAGGCTCAGAAAATATTTCTAGAATTCTTCTCCACAAAGAAGCTGTTCCAGGGTTCCCTTTAGAAATAGTTGTAGCCAAAGACAATGAATTCCTGCAGTTTCAAGCCTTCTTCCTTTGGAGGACTTTAAGGTATTTCTTTAATTCCTCAGCTGATTCAGTACAAGATGAGATGGACTTGCAGGGTGATCGTATAAGCAGTTTGTATTTCCCTCACCAAGTCCCCACCTTGTGTGGGCGTTGTCTTGTTCTCCTAGGTGAGAATATGCAAGACCTTATCTCCTTTGAAAGAGGCACTGACCTGTCTCTGCCCAACCAGCTTAAAGGGAGACAATGTCCTCTGCTCCAGGCAGCAAGCATCATGTACAGCGACGCATCAGTGTCCCCAAAAGTCTTATCAGAACCTCTGTTCAACTGAGAATCAATCACCAAGCCCATCAGCTGCATGGCATCACCATTGTCCTAGAATGGCACGTGCTCTCTGGCCTAGCATTTCAGTACCGCACTCTCTGTAATAGAAGAGCACAGAAATGGAGGGCTTAGGTGAGACTCTTCTGGTGCTCAGGCCGAGACCCATCAGGATCTTTTCCGTATTCAGAGTGCTGTGGTATAGACTAGAGAAAGTGTGGCATCATAGCAGTTTCCTGATACAAAGATTGCAGAATGCTCCAACAAGCAGAACATTCCATGAACACTTCCTCACGTTCCTGTATTTGGATTAGAAACAAGCATACTATGGTACCATGATTCTGGATTCTGTAAAATGACCTCTTCCCCTCCCGAGATCTTCCTTGGATAGAAGCTGTGCAAGGAACCTAGCCAGCTCTTGGTCATTATTCTTGAAGGGCTGCAAATGTAATGTTGATTTTAAATGCTGTAATTCAGGATGGTATCGAATGTGTCTCTGTTTGGAGTTCATTATTTGGAATAAGATATTGAATTTCAGTAGTTTCACAGCACTTTGTTCTCAAAAAATTGCCCCAATGTTAGTAATAAGACCTCTTCTGAGGTTACATATTCGTCTACTGGATTGAACGCAAGCTCAGATCTGTTTATGATGATACCAGATGTTTGCTGGGTAATGTATGGGTGCCTAATTCTGTCATCATATTATTTTTACTGAAATCCGATCTACGTATAGCCTTACGTGGTAGGAAACCAAGCACTGAAATGCCAAGAGAGTGATGGAAGGAAACAGAAGGTAGTGGCAACTTCAGAGAGTGTCAGGAGGGTGCGGGTGTAGTGTCCGTGACCCGGCCACAGACTCCAGCGACAGGCGGCCACAGTGAGTGCCCCTGACACCAGCACCGTCGCCCTCAAAAGACTTTTCCAGTTTGTGTTTGAAAAGGAAAGCAATACGGATTTGTTTACTCTGATAGACTAGTGTTGAAATGTTTTTCTCTTTTTTTAAAACGAATTGAGACTTCTGTTTAGATTTAGTATGTCAGAAGGAGTGTTTTTGTGTTTGGCCTAATCTATTGAGGGGAAATTGACTAGTTCCAGAGCAAATTAACAATTAGCATGAATACATGTTTGTTGAGTTTTGAGTTTTTCTGTGAGTTTTGTTGAGTTTTTCTCTGTTTTAATACTAAATATTGAGGGAGTCAGAATTTGAAGTTCATATATTCCCTAGTTTCTTCTATCTAATGCGCATCGTGAATGAATGGGGAAATATTCATTTTAGAGATACTAAATGATTTTTTGCTTCTTGCATTCCGACCACATCGTCAGACCTCCAGTAGGACTCGTTTTACCTAAAATAGTTACAGAACCGCATTGTAGGACCAGCACCTACTAAGCAGCTCTTCCAAGTATCTTTTCATTTGTTCAGCTGAGCAGAAGCTGTTACCCTGAATGTTGTAGGCAGACACCAAGCCTGTCTCCTCTCCCGGAGACGTGCACGCTTGCTGTACTGGACGTCTGTGATGGCACCTGGCTGGCAGCCCTGTTTGGGTAAAATGTGGACTCTTCTCAGTGTTGAGGTTCTGATCCTCAAGCAGCCAGTGATTTTTTTCTTTTTCTTTCTAGCCACAGATCACGATCCTAATCCCATCCAGTAATCATAATATGTGCCCAAAGTAGCATATATACATCACTACTGATTCCCTTTAAGATCTCTGAAGTCCACTAACAGTAAAATTTCGTACTGCCCTCTGATTATGATGAACTTTCAATGTCAGTGTCATCTTCCCAAATGCATATTTTGCCATAATATATTTTCTGAAGGCAAAGGTTTCTCATAAACCTAAATGTCAGTCAAGAATGCAAGGTTTTGGTCTTTGTAGAGAATCCATTCACTAAAGCACTGGACATTCGAATCCACCCTGATCCTCATCTGATAACTCTCTAGAAGAGCGATTTTCAACCCTTTCCACCTCCTGGCACACATAAACTGATTACTAAAATGTTGCAGCACACCAAAAAATATATTTTTTGCCAATCTGATCAAACAAAAAGCTTAATTTTGGATTCATTCACACCAGACAGCTATTGTGTTGGCTGTGGTCATTTTTTTATTTGACAGTCTAAGGGAAAACAGGTCAGTGTTCCTGACTAAATAGGTATTGCATGTTTTAAAAATTCTTATGGCGCCCTGGCCGGTTTGGCACAGTGGTTAGAGCACTGGCCCGCGGACCAGAGACCCGGGTTCGGTTCCCGCTAAGGGCACGTACCTCGGTTGCAGTTTGTCCTCGGCCCCAGTTGGGGTCGTGCAGGAGGCAGCCCGTGAATGTGTCTCTTTCACATTGATGTTTCTCTCTCTCCCTCCCGCTCTATCTGAAGATGAATGCAAAAATATCCTCTGGTGAGGATTTTTTTAAAAATTCTTGTGGCGCACCGGTTGAAAATTGCAGCTCTAGAATGTAGTCCTAACCCCTTCTTCGATGGGGTAATCTGTGGTGTGGTTCCTTAAACATGTAGGTCCTCTGCTCTCTTCTATGTATAGTTAGACTAATTTTGACAAAACATTACAGTCTTATGGCTAAAGTCTGAAATTGAATCATTGTTTTGGGTGGCTAATAAGTGCAGTGATAAAAGAAAAAAAACTGTATAGATTTCAAAACCAAGGTGTTTATGGCAAATTTTAAGAGAATGTAGGAAAGCAGCATTACTGTATTCAATCCACTATTGTAAAACTTGCCAAAACTTTAGCTACTGTTTGATGAGTACAGTTATCTGTCAGAAAGCATGCTTCGTAGTCATTGAAGGAAATTAGAAGTTTTACAGCAGTGGAAAGTTTATCTAAAAATTTCAGAGTGATGTTCTCCAAACTATGATGTAATAAAAATAAAGGATGTGCCATGCCCTCTTCATGAGAATGTTTCTGGGAGAATGCTGAGCAAAGGCATCTCTTAAAAAGTTGTGGTTGCCTACTACCTGTGAAGAGTTGAATCATTGGCCTTTTTTAGACGATGGATAAAATTTTAGAACACTGGGTCTTAGAAGTGGCAGCTAAAATACTTATTTTGGTCTCTTCCATGGTAACAGGAAACGAAACTTGAGAAGACAGCGTGGACTAATGGATAGAGGGTTGGACAGGAGGTCAGGAACCTCTGTTCTGTTCTATTCCCAGCCTGCAACTGGGTTGCTATGTAAACTTAGATGAGCTGGTTACCCTCTCTGCACCTCATATTTTCTATTTGTGAAAACATAGGTAGAGACATTCTGTACTTAGCTCTTTAGAAGATATTGTGACAACCAGCTTACACTGAAGACGTTCACAGTGTCTTTGGGTTGAAAAGCGGCTACATAAATATCTCTGTCTCTGTTCCCTTGGACCACATCCTAACTACAGTTTGACTTTACAGAAACTGACATTACAGGTACCATTACAATGAACTTTGTATTGCACAGAGGCTAAGAGTGTGACCTTGGAGCCGGAGTGGCTGGGTTTGAATCTTCGGTCTGCCACTAACTATGTGACCTTGGGCAAGTCGGTGTACTAGATTTTCTCATCTGTGAAATGGGACTAAGGATGGCACCCATCTCATTGGAGTGTGATGGAGCTTAAACATTAATGCAGAGCACTGCAAACGTTATATAGAAACATAATGCACTCTATTCTTACTGCTCAGAACAGTTCTTCATTATTGACTGGGCAGGGACGCTAAAGCATCACCCTGGCCTTGGTTTCTTCTCTGCATCTCTTCCCAGATGTCTGCTTACGCTCCTTGTATCTCTCTCCGCCACACCCATAAGCCCTGAGCCCTGCGGATAAGCTCCTAGTCACTGTTACCCATTGTAGGGTCTATAATAAGGGAAGGACTGTCACATAAAAGATGAAAGAAATCTAGATGTTTTGGGCTAGTCTCAGAAGCATCTCTGATTTATTAAGTTGAAAAAGATGTAGCAGATTTCAGATGTGTTGCAGACTGGAGAGTGAGATAATTGACAGTTGGAAGCAGTGTCTTGGTTATTATAAAAAGTAAACTCGGGAAACATTAGGAAGAAATAGAGCAGTTAACAGTGTAAGTGGAGTTCACCTTAACCTCTCTTATCCGCTTTCCACGGTGGTGACCCTCAGAGAAGGAGTGTGTGAGGTACCAAAAATGCCCAAGTTGCTCAAACACAAAGGAATAGAGCTTTTGGATTGTCAAAAATCTAAATAAAACGTGTATTTTTCAGGGATTAAAGTCATTATGAGGTTTTAATGAGTTGTGCACTTGAAACCTGTATGGTTTTGCAAACCAGTGTCACTCCAATAAATGCAATAAAAGAAAAGACAGTATGAAAGTTCAGGATTTTATGAAAATTAAGAGATTCGTTTTTTTTGTAACTTTCTGCAATGTGGAATTTCAGAGACTGACTAGCATCTAAGAGATAATCATGTTTCACTGATTTTTTCCCTCTTTTTATGATTAGAACCAACCTACATCACAATTGATCCGCCTGCATGCGGGGAGTTATCGAACTGCACCCTGACCGAGAAGGACTGCATTTATGGTTTCAAGCTTGACCATAGTGGCTGTCGAACTTGTCAGTGCAAAAGCAGTAAGTACACAGAAGATGGTTGTTTTTTAGTCTAATGTGATATTGTCAAAGCATATTCTGTGATTGACTATCTTATGCATTCTTGTTCATGACATTCTCTTAGCAACTTGAAAGAAGAAAAAAATATGTGTACGGAACACAAGTAAATACGCTGTCGTGGGGAGGGGGGGGGCTGCTTCATTCTGGTTTTCAGCTTCGTTTCTTTGTCTGCAGACACCCCCTGATACCCAGCTGCATCATGGGTACAACCTCAGAGCTTTGAGTACGTCTTCCTAAGCATCCCCTTAGCTCATCCTAACATAACCTTGCTGGGGTCATCGGTGACAAGAAGGTCACCCGCACAGAGGGTGTCACATTCCGTGTACGGCAGTCTCCACCCTTAGAATGTGCCTCACGTAGTTGACTCCAGCCTCCTCCGTGCAGATTCCAATCCTGTCCCTGCGCCACGACCTCTGAAACTTGATAGCGTCTATTACATTTCCACCACACACATACACAATTGCCCTTCGCGTTTATAATGATTTTGAATTCCCCTAATTCTTCTACCAAAATAAACATCTTCAGTCCCATCAGCCAGTCCCCAGGCGATGGAGTTTCTGGCACTTCCTTGGTCCTTTTCATCTCTCAGTACACTTAGAGCATGTCCGTGTCCTTATATAAATGTGCGGCCTGGACACAAACAAAGGGCTCCAGAATGTGGTCTGTGCTGGTGTGTGGCCTGAGTCTGCCTCCGCTCTTTGAATCGCACACTGTTGGCTCATAGCAGCCAGAACCGCTAGGGGTTTTTTTTTAACATCAGCTGCTGCTAGGTGGCTCTCATCTGTTCTGTATTTGAACATTTGATTTTTTTTTTTAAATGACATCAATCCAGGGCCACATTTAACAAGAAGTTATCCTGAGAGTTTTAAACTGTTTCCCAACTAGTCGGGATATTTTTGAATCTGGGTAATGTGATTTAATACCTTATCTATGCTTCCAGTATTTAGTAAGCAAAACTTACATGGCCTCATCTAAAACAGCGAACTAGGCCCAGCCAGTGTAGCTCAGTGGTTGAGCATCAACTCACGCACTAAGAGGTCGCTGGTTCGATTCCTGGTCAGGGCACATGCCCAGGTTGTGGGCCCAATCCCCTGTGGGGGTCATGCAGGAGGCGGCTAGTCAGTGTTCTCTCTCATCGATGTTTCTATCTTTCTCTCCCTCTCCCTTCTTCTCTCTCTAAAATCAATAAAGAAAATAAATAAATAAACAAACAAACAAACAAACAAAACAGCGAACTAAAGTTACATTGTACGGGATGAAGGGAAGACTCCTGTAGTACTAGAGGCCTTCCTGCCGAAAGACAAAGTCCCTGAAACACTCCTCCGTCTCTTATCTGAAATCAAAATACATGAATTTGAAGCGTTCCTTTGCTGGAAACCCCATTTTAAACATAAAATGAATTAGTGGAGCTTGGCTTGTTCTTATGAACCTGTGTGTGCTGGCTCCTGGGGGTCATGGCTTTCTTTTCTAAATGTCACAAACCACATGTTTAACAGTTCTTCCGGCAGAATTTTCCGTTGTGAATGTCAAGCTTAGTTTCTGTAGTTTTAGAATCCATTGTCTTTTTTTGAATTGACCTTTGGCCTCCTTTAGTTTTGAACTCCATTCTCTCTGGCCTGTCCTAAACATAGACGACGCTTCTATAATAGGCAGGTTCTCTTCGAGCCTCTGTAAATACCCTAGGCTCAGAGACTTGGGATTTCTTAATGCACGTAGGTGCTCACCTTCTGATTTATCCAACATCTTAGGCTTTCTATTCCTCTTAGCCTTTATTGTTCAGTACTTTCTGTTGTAAGACTATTTTGATATTCAGATACAAAATAGGAGTTGAGTAATTTGGTTTTCTTAATCGCATGTTGTCATCACCCTATCAGCCTGATGGAGTCAGTGTTGAAACAATTATAAAACTTGTGACTATGGTATCGCCATCTTTAAATTTCTCATAAGCCTCCAGCCGCCGGGGGCTGTCCTGCCTTCCTACAGTTGTTTCTGTCCAGGGGAGACAGGACCTCTCTGCCTTTTGTAGCTCCCTTGGGAAACCCGATTCGTTAGGAAGCTGCCTTGGCAGACACATTTGTTTAATTAAATGGCCAACTTTGGTTTTTGACAACAAGATAATCAGTGGTTGTATCGTGAAGCCTTTATGTCTTAATCCTTCTTATCTCTCTTTGGTGACACATCCTTTCTGATCATGGCAGGGCACCTAAATGTTTTTCTGAACTTTGAAGGCTAAAAATACAGATTTTATTGTGCTTAATCACCGTGCCTGCCACCTTCACCTGCGCTCTGCTGTTAGGAATTATTTGTCCCTGTGGTCATGCTTACGTAAGACTTGAGCCCTTTGTAGTGAAGTCCAAAGAAGCAGTTTCCCTCCGTTGTCATCAAAGCAAGTCAGAAACATCACTGGCTCTTTGCAAGTCGAGACTGTTAGGAAAATCCTGCTTTGCCTGACTCTGTGTTAGTGCTACATTCTGGCTTTATAAAAGGAACATCTGTATGCTAAGTGAAACAAGCCTGTCAGAGAAAGACAAGTATCACATGATCTCACTGATTTGTGGAATATAATGAACAAAATAAAGTGATGAACAAAACAGATCCAGAGACATAGAAGTAGGGTTCAGATTGACAAACCTGAGGGGGGTAGGGGAAATAAACCAAAGAACTTAAGCCTATATCTATAATTCGTGCATGCTACCTATTTGCACCTTGATGTCCTTAATGTAGAAAGACATATATACAGGAGACTTGCATTTTGTCAGTGGTTGTTTTTTTTAATGATTTTTATTTTACATGTAAATTTGTATTAGCCATTCATTCTTTGCAAATTTTACCTATTTTAGGGCTATCTAGTCTTTTTTCCTTCCCTTCTTTCTTCCTTTGCCTGGTATAGATAAGCCCCTGCTGAGTTCTAGGTACTGGAGTAGGTGTTAATGTCATAAAGATGAATAAAATGAGACCCGCACTAAGCAAATAATCTGACACACTAATAAAATAGCATTTCAAGTCCAATTCTGTAACTTAGAAAAGTACATTCTATGAAGAGGACGCCTTGGTCCTGTGGGGAATCCAGGCACTTGTTCACAGCAGAGTGGGGACGGCACTGACCCGTCTCCAGGCCCGTGCTCGGCGCTCGGCGCTCGGCGCTCGGCGCTCGGCGCTCAGCAGAGGGTGGTTTGTGTATGAGCAGGGAGCTCAGAACTAGGGATGCCACTGGACATCTTTCTCGTCTGACATCCCCTTCTAAGGACTCACCATTCTGACTGTGTATCCATCTCATCACACTGAGATTCTCGACCTGGATTAGGCTTTCGCCATCTCACCCACTACCACCAAATACCTAAAAATATAATCAAACACCAAGTAGAATTCGTCCATTTGACCTCGGCATCAGAAGCCTAGTCACAGAGCATTCTGCTCTCACCCCCCCCCCCCCCCAGTAGCAATCCTGATTATTTGACGTGTTTGAAAGCCACACCGTTGGGAAGTGTCAGATAAACCAAACGGCCAGATCCTTGGTTGTCAGATTCTTGTGGTTGTAGGTACCCAGTTCTCCCCCCATGCTCACGCTCTGGCATGAGACTGACCCGCCTCCGGGTGATCCCAGCAAGTGGCTTTACTTCTCCAGGTCTCTGTGTCCTCCATATCTGTAAAGGGCAGATGATAATACCTAGCTAATGGGTTATTTTGAGGACTAAAGAAATGAATGCATGCAATGCTCGCGTTGCTCACTGACATGCGGTAGCTGTTTCCATGATCGCTGTTTCACAACATCCATTCTGAGTCAGCCCAAGCAAGTAACATGGAAAGCCCCCGGCTGCCCTCCTCTGTTCCAGCGCCAGCCTGCCTTCGCTCTTCCTGTCCTCCGAGGGTACGCACACAGACAGCTTTCCTTTTACCTTCTCATTTTAACCCTCAGATATTCTCATTCTCTTTTACCCAGTTTTAGAAAAAAGGAAGCTTAGTGCAGTGAAGGACGGCAGAAGTGTGTTCTTTTTCCCATTGCAGCTACTTGCTAAGGGATGATCTGGTCTAAATTTCTCCCACACATTATTTTCCTGCATCCCACCAAAAGCCTGTTTCACTTGCGGTGGTCCTCACCGATGATACTTACGTTTTCTCTTGGGGATTGTACCTTATTTATGCAGGCTGCTGGCATCAAGATTTCCTAGAGTAAGACGAGCACTGAATAAATATTTCTGTCCTGTTCATTGGTTTGTCGTTTACTCGTTCATTTTTTTTCTTTCATTTCGCATTTGTTGAGTGCCTAGTATATGCCAAGCACTAGGGATATGAAAAAGATAAAAATGGACCTTATCTTGACTACTATTGGTAATATTGATAATATGCTAAGGATAACGCAACATAATCAAGCATATTATAGACATTTACTTTAAAGATTGAAATCAAAATCCGACAGAAACATGCCCTTCAAAGTCCATGGAAGGTGTGCAGAGGGTTCTTTTGTTTGAACCTCTAACAAATATTCTTATAACGCTGCCAAGCCAAGTATGCGCACAGAGAGAGTTAAATTATCCCTGACACATTTTCTCAAGGACATATTTAGAATAAAGAAAAATGTGGTGGAAAATGTTTAAGAAAGTGCAGTAGCAACACAAATTAAAACAAATCATTTGGGTAAGCTACTAATAACGCTATTAATATAAGCTATTAATAACATTACTTTTTGACCAGAAATGGTTGTTGCTGTCAAACAGGCATAGTACACCACAGCTTAGTATATGAACTATAGGTCATAAGTGACATCTAGATTAATTAAATGCCATTAGCCTTTTGGCATCTTTTTTCTATATCTTTAAATCAAGTGGATCGGGCTGGAGTATTTGTAACTTCTCCACTTTTAACATTCTGTAATTCTAGGAATTAATAATACTTTTATCAAGAAACTGGTGCTGACATAGAAAATTAATGGTAGCAAGGAGAAAAAGCCTTCGGTCTTTTCACGGACTGTACATCTGAATCAGGCATCTAAAGAAAGTTGCGTCATCAAATATTAGGGAGGTGAGCTCCCCATTTTTATTTACTGTAACTGAGCAAGCACTTATTCAGGGTCACAGTGGGGACCACCACTGACTGTGTTGTATTTCTATAATAGTTTCAGAAGCATTCTACTGTTCTTACCTGGCCTAGCTGGTTGATGGGAATTCCCAGTACCCAGTGTGAAGTATATAACAAAACATGTAGCAGAACTCTAGGGGCACTCGCGTTGTGTTCTCTGTGTAAGTTACAAGGTATCCACTTAGAGTAATGTGTGAATGATGCTTCCTGCAGTTGTACCACATCTTGGCCCTGGGAGCAAACATCTCTTTTTCTCCAGAGTAAACAGAGAGTTTATTACGTAGCTGCTATTGACCAGCCATGATGCACAGGCCCTGTACTTTACCATGATTTATAACTTTCCCCTCAGTGGTGATTTCCCCCTATGGACTAGAAAGCATTTATAGATCACAGTAAGGCCATAATGCTGAAAAATTATGAACACAAAGCCACCATTCTTTCTGTACTTGCCTCAAGTGAGGTGCTAAAGCTTTTCAAACACACTTATGAACCCCACCCATCTGTGAGTAAGACGCTGCTAATCTGTTTATGCTGCTCTTTATGTCAGTGTTTGCCTTGATGGTATATTTCTCTTGTAAAAAGTCCATAATTATTACATGGATCTAGGACTGCCTTACAGTCAGTCTTTAATGTTCTGTGTTTCTGAGCTAGAAGATAGTATTTTGAGATGTCCCAGTGCCAGTGTTTTCAATACTATTAAAGTAACTTTTTCCATCCGGTTATTTTTCTATTAACATAGCAGCCTGGATGAGAGTGGAGGAGTGAATAACAAGAATATTGATTGATTGGTTCATTCTTCACATACATGTTGAACACTTACTCCATGTTGAACACCATGATAGCACACCTGGACTATATAAATAAAGAAAATAGCCCAGGCCGGTTTGGCTCAGGGGTTAGAGCGTCGGCCCACGGATCAGAGTCCCAGGTTTGGTTCCCGCTAAGGTTTGGTACCTCAGTTGCAGTTTGTCCCCGGCCCCGGTTGGGGTTGTGTGGGTGGCAGCCACTCGATGTGTCCCTTTCACATTGATGTTTCTCTCTCTCTCTCACCCCCTCCCATTCTGTCTGAACGAAAAATGGAAAAATGTCCTCGGGTGAGGATAAAAAAAGAAAGAAAATAGGTCCGTAGTCTAGAGCCCCTTCTGTTGGGGAGCAGAACCAAGACAGGCCCAGACCACAGCATGCTGGGGAGCAGCCAGGGCAGCCCTGGGCAGGCTGCCTGGGTAGCATAGCCAGTCTGCTGCCCATTTGTGTTTAAATAGCAGCCTTTGCTTGAAATTCTCTTCCATTGCAAAGCCGAGATGGTTAAAAACAAAATTAGTTTTTATCTAAATTTTTATACTTGGTGATGCAACAGTTTCTATAAGGGTGAAGCCCATTCTAGGTTAAAGTCTACAGAAAAACTACTTTTTATTTTTTTTATCTTTTTTCTAATGTTTAATTATAGTTGATACAATATTTTATTAATTTCAGGTGTACATCGTAGTGATTCAACATTTATATACCTTATGAAGTGATCACCACAATAAGTCCAGTAACCATCTGTCACGGTACATAGTTACTATGATACTGACTATATTACCTATGCTGCACATTACATCTACTTTTTAAAGGGCTAGAAAAATCAAGGCACAAGGATGATCGGACTCCAAAGTTGGAGGGAATTTAATGTCCAGAGATGCTGACTCTGGGAAGTTCTCAGAGTGTTTTTTGTTTGTTTTTTTTTCCCTCACCCGAGGACATTTTTCCATTTTTTGTTCAGATGGAGAGGGAGGGAGAGAGAGGAACAGAGAGAGAGAGAAACATCGATGTGAAGGGACACACCGAGTGGCTGCCACCCGCACGACCAACCAGGTCCGGGGACAAACTGCAACCGAGGTACGTGCCCTTAGCGGGAACCGAACCCGGGTCTCTCGGGACCGCAGGCCAACGCCCTAACCGCTGAGCCAAACCGGCCAGGGCTCTCAGAGTGTTTTTAATTCCTTTATTTCCCAATATAATTTACATGATGGTGTGACTTAAAAATTCTAGTAATAGAAAAATGGACTCACAACTTAGCTCTCAGTGTCAGAGGAAGAAGTATGGCTGTGAAGTCTTGTCCCTCCACCGTGCCCTTAATAATGGAGACAGTTGAAAAATGATGACCTTTCAAATTATATAATTACAGATTTTTAAGTGAGACATTTAGAATTTGGCTGTTCAGGATGCAAATTACTAATTAGTTTCACATTTTAATACAAACCCATGAGGTTGTATTAGAAAGTAGAAAATTATACCATAAATCATATTTTCCTTTTAAAAGATAGCAAATTAAATATTTGTGTATCACCAGCTAAGATTCATGAAAGATGCTATCTTAAATTATTTATGTGAAACATGAGCTCATTTCACCTATTAATTGTAGTGAAGGTTTAATTTTAGATTAGAAGGTTTGTATGTGGAAGGGACACGTGTGTTCTGTTTGCTAGTAACCTATGCATTATTCAAAACATTTATGCTTAAAGGATGTCCAAATAAAATAAAGATTAATTTTCTTATTTTAAAAAATAGCATCTGCTTCCCATATCACTAATCCATGCAGAACATTAATCAAACATCGCCATACTTTGCTATCAGAATTTGATTGCCTGTAAAATCCCGTAGTTAATTTAGACAAGTCTCAACTTGCTTTACTTCCATCACTGAGCATGCTTTTTCTGCCTTAACGTTTTTATTCTCTGTATGATGCTGGTGATCCCCGTATCACACCTTTAAAATCTTTTCAGAAGATTCTGTTAAGCTTACTATCTCTAGTAGTTTCTTCAGCCAATCGCCATTTGCTCCTTTTTTTCCCTTTTAAATTAATAATTTAAAAGTGACCAATGGAGGACACTTTGAACATTTCAAACAGTGAGTGGTTAAAAATTTATCTAGATATTTCTTTGACACATGTATAGTTTAGTAATTTAGGTAAGCGTATCCTAATACCTGCATAGTTGTCGTCAGAAGAGAAAAAAAATAGCTAAATGAAATATTTTCTGTCATTGTTTAGGAGATGTCCTTTTAATAGACGGTAAGAAATTTTTTACACTTCTTTGTATAATAGGCAGGATTGTATAACATCTAAAACATGTACGTAAACATGTGAACATTTAAGAAGGTGGATTATGGGGTCATGCAATAGAAACAAAATACATAATGAAATTTTAGGTGTAAGTTTCTAATTCTCACATTTTATCAATCAATGGTAGTTTGAGCTGACTATAAGAACAGATGTCATGAAAAACTTCACGCGGTGTCTTTTCCCACCACAAGCAACATTTACCAGCCAGCTCTTCAGGGTCTGGTCAGAATGTACTTCAGAAATCTGGTTTTCAGAACTGGACTTATTTTGATATCATTACCAAAGCATGGAGTTATGCTGTGATAACCATGAAATAGCACAACCCTTCCTGATGCTGCGGTGGAGCCGAGACGTGTACACGCGTGGAGGATGGGGAGGTGGGGAGGGACTGAAGCGTCGATGTGCTCCAGCCCGTTCCTGTTCGGAAGGAACATGCCGTCCGTGTCTTCGCAGGGGAGGAGCTGTGCACAGGCCTCCGGCGGGGCTGCACGCTGGACTGCCCCTTCGGCTTCCTGACCGACGCCCACGGCTGCGAGATCTGCCGGTGCCGCCCCCGGCCCAAGAAGTGCAGACCCATCATCTGTGACAAGTACTGCCCGTTTGGATACCTGTACGTATTTCTGAATTCCGAAGATCTATTCTTCATGGCCTGTAACTTGGTGAGATGTCTGTGCCTGTTTTTGTTGGCTGTTTGTGTGTGTGTGTGTGTGTGTGTGTGTGTGTGAGTGTGTGTGTGTGTGAGAGAGTTAGTGATGTACTGAGTCCAGAATGTCTGTGCTTGTTTCGTCAGATAGGTCAGGAGGGAGGGATAGAATGGTGTCTCCACACAGTCAAATTTTTGTTGTTGTTTCTGTTTTTGTCATCGTTAATGCTCCCCCAAGGATCTTCTTCCATTGATTTTTAGATAAAGTGGGAGTGACGGGGGGAGAGAGAGAGAGAGAGAGAGAGAGAGAGAGAGAGAGAGAGAGAGAGAGAGGAATGTGAGAGACACACATTGATTGGCTGCCTCCTGCACAACCCCATCCGGGGCCAGGGGTCAAACCTGCAACCCAGGTATGTGCCTTTGACCTGGAATCGAACCTGAAACCTTACGGTCTGTGGACTGGTGCTCTAACCACTGAGCCAGACTGGCCAGGGCAAGAGTCAGGTTTACTCTTCTCTTTGGGAAGATGAGCCAGAGCCTTGTTAGGACCCTGCCCTGGGACCAGTAGATGTGGATCCTCCGCAGCGGGTGCCCTCGGACGCTGCAGGGGAGTGGAATTCTCATGAGGTCCCCATGTTGTAAAGCGTATACCTGTCACAGCTGTTGCGTGCTGTTGTGGACTTCTGCGTGCTAACTTATTTCTTTGGTTCTTAAGGTCGATTGACAGGAGCTCATTTGCAGGACTGAGCATCCTTACCCTTACCTGCCATGCTTCAGTATCTTACAGTTTATAATTTTTTTTCTTTATGTCGCAGTAGATTTTATGATTTTTGTCAAGATAAGGACCATGACCTGTCTTTCAAATACTCTTGATTGAGTCAAGCCCCCTGCAATCAGATTGTTCCAGGGCGGGGAGGTTGACGCTCTGTGTCTCTGCTGTCTGCACTGGCATCTGTTTCTCCTTTACTTCAAGTTGGTCCCTAAAAAAGTTACCTTTCAGATTGTTACTGTATCATTCTCTCCTTGGTTCCCTTCCCTTTGAGTCCTTCTGCCTTTTCGATTCGATATATTTATATAGTACTACTACGACTAAGGGACTTAGGTCCATCGTATCTTGCCCATCTTATTAAAGTCATCCTTTTTATTATTATTCTCGGAAATTCTGGTTTAGCAAGGGGGTGGGGAATCTTAATTCTAATTTTAATTGCATAAGTTGGGAACTCTATTCTTAAAAATTTTTCCCAAGTAAACTAACCGTTGTTCTGAATCCTAACATATGACTATGATACCATTCATAGTATAGGTATTTCTTAGCTTAACTTCTGATGTATTATTGTCATAACAGTAGCCGCCACCACTTGCTGCAGGGTTAGGACAGTTCAAAATCAGGGCTGCAGGAGAGTCCAGCCTTCATCTTGAGAAATCTCTTTCAGGGGTTCTCAACCTTCCTGACGCCGCAACCCTTTAATACAGTTCCTCATGCTGTGGTGACCCCCCAACCATAAAATTATTTTCATTGCTACTTCATAGTTGTAATTTTGCTACTGTGCAGTCTTAAGTGACCCCTGTGAAAGGGTCGTTCGACCCCCAGGTTGAGAACCTCTGTCTTAGAGGACTGTCGGCGTCACTTTGTATCCCTGTCGGCAAGCGCATACCGGGAGCACAGGTGACCACAGAAGACGAATAGGCACTGCACCAGCCAGAACAGGGGCTATTTTTCAGCGCCCGCCTCTGGGGAGAAAAGCTGGCCGGACACCATCTAGGGGTGTTAGGACAAAGGCTCACCCGGTCATGCTCCTTGTATATACTGCTGAGCGGATCAGTCCTGTGTCGGTGCTGGTGGAGGGTGCAGAGATGAATGATTGAACAAATCAGGTCAAGCCTTCATAGGTCTTGAAAATGACAGTATGTGACCTGAATATGAGTAATTCGTTTAATTCATTCTCATTGTGTGAAAACAAACACGCAGACCCAGCAAGCTGTAGTCTGTCACTGGGCAGCGGTAGACCAGGTGGTACACCAAGGGTTTTCCATGCTGTCTTCTTTTAGGCCCCTTCATGTGCTCAAGATGGGAAAGAACAGGGTTGTGTTTTTGTTTTTGTTTGTTTGCTTCTTAGTGGAACATTATCGCCACTAGGATCAATTGGGATGAAACCTGAGGGTGCATAGAGTCACTGTAACAGTGTCCCTCTTTTTCACGGGGGGAAAAGGAATTATTGGTTAGAATTTGTCCAGAAAATCTCCACTCAAGCTACTGGGATAGTATTTATGAACATAGACTTCTTTACTTATGGCACAGACTGTAGGCGCTCTAGCTTATTAAAGGGAACGGAGTGTGTCCAGCCTTTTTCCTTGTGCCGCACGCTTCTGTCGCCCCCATGGACGGAGCGTTCCTCCCTTGATGTTCTCTAAGTAACGAAGTGACGCAGCGTCTCTCGGGGCTTTCGTTCTTCATCACTGTTTGTGTCACATTCCCGGGTCTGTGGGGCCTTATTTCCTTCCGCCTTCTATAACTATCAGTGGATATCGCAGTAAAGTTGTGCTGCAGTTTCTCAGAGAACGTGGTCACGGGAGGAAGCCTGCTGCCCCGACCAGAGAAGGGCCTTTGGCCCTAGTGCTGGCCTCCGACACTGACCGACAGTCACACTCCCTATTCCAGTGTGGCGCCACTTTCCCTAATTAGATGTACAGCCCTGTGCCTGGGATTCTTGACATTTACATCCCAGAAGCTCACAGGTGCGTGAGCGATTCTAAACCCTGGCTGGGGGTGGGGTGGGAGGTGGGGCGCGGTCATGGCCACAGGGAGCTCATTACACTCCACTCCAGGAGCTCTTGAGAAAGTCCAGTCCTCCTGCTTAGTAACAAGATCACTTCAGTGACCCTCGGTCTGAGGACGTGGGCATCATTTCAGACTTTATGAGTTTTTCTGACCCCTGACAAAATTTTAATTACCCAGGAAGAATAAGCACGGCTGTGACATCTGTCGCTGTAGGAAATGCCCAGAGCTCCCATGCGGTAAAACCTGCCCCTTGGGTTTCCAGAAGGACAGTCATGGCTGTTCCACCTGCAAGTGCAGAGGTAAGTGTCAACGTGTGACCTGCCCCTCCCCCAGAGCAGCCCAGGGGCCAGCAACCAGCAACAAAAGGACGTCACGTACGTGAAACCGTTTCAGTGCTGGCTGTCTCCTCTGACACAAATGTCCCTCTCTGTGGGACCGTCTTTTTTCCTGTCCTCTTACTAGAATAAAAGCTCAGAATAGGATTTCAAGTAAGCATGTAATGGACAAGCATACTGAGTGGATTAATCACTACTTAGCTCTCCAGTTTGACTCCTTCAGGAACTTTAGCCTTTTCTTTTGTTGTTGTTGTTGTTAATGCTCACCTGAGGATATTTTTCCATTGATTTTCAAAGAGAGTGGAAGGGAGGGAGGGAGAGAGAGAGACACGTTGATCGGTTGCCTTCCGCATGACCCCATCCTGGGCTGGGGATTGCACCTGCAACCCAGGTACGTGCCCTTGTCGGAATCAAACCCGCAACCCTTCCACCCACAGACTGATGCTCTAACACTGAGCCAAACCGTCCAGGGCTGAAGCACCTTTATCTCGACCTCCGTAGTTTCCCTCCACCCAGCATGGGGGGATACAGTTGATGCAGCAAAGACCCCTTTCCAGAACCCCTGAGGTGGGTGTGGCTGAGCAGTCTGCTCGCGGATTTTCTGGGAATGCCGATTCCATGAGAATGTAGACTTCTGCTGAAGAAGTACCAGCCTGCCTGTCGTGTACGGGCGGGAATCCCGATGTCCCTCCTGTCTGGGACTTCCCCCCTCTCCCTGGGCACCATTCCTGCCCGCACTGGTCAGCCCAGCTGCCCACCCCTATGTGGACTGTCAGCATGATCCACGGTAAAGCAATAAAAGATCCCTCCAGTGTGTTCTGTTTTTTTCAGAGTTGGACAGTTATCACTGTGATGGTGTTTGAAGGGCCCGAGTAAACATATCCAGTCACTGCTTTAATTGTGCTGCTAAACAAAAATGCGTTAGTTGCAGGGGCCCAGGATTTCCTGGTTGGATGGCTTCTAGTGCTGCTTCTGCACATGTGAAACCTATGGGTAACAGTTGCTGTGAAATCAGTGCCTGTTTATTGTATAAAAATGAGACGGTTGAGTGTAGGCGTCAGCATCAACTATAATACCACGAATAGGAGAGAAATATACTTGTAGGCTTCTTTTGTCCCCCACCCCCACCCCCAAATTGCAAGCGTATTAACTTAAATTCTTTTCCTGAGTGAACTGTCCTTGGTAGACATGACTTGGTGGCTGGGTAACATTTACCCGTGAGGACCCTACCTGCCGCTTCTCCCGTGCAGTAGCTGTGTCTTTACCAAGGCTGCCTTCTGTCTGCAGAGGTCCCCACGTCAGCCAAGTCGCCTGAGCTGTCAGGCACGTGCCTGTCCATGGATGGCCATCATCATAGACATGAGGAGAGCTGGCACGACGGGTGCCGGGAATGCTACTGTCACAACGGACGAGAAATGTGCGCTCTGATCACCTGCCCGGTGCCTGCCTGTGGCAGCCCCACCATTCGCCCGGGACAGTGCTGCCCGTCGTGCTCAGGTAACAGCTGCTGCCGCCTCGTGCTCCCTAAGCCAGTGACTTCTGGGTGGGCGCAGGGAGAGATGCGGGGCGCACCCCAGACACGTTTCGGCTCTCCGTGGTTTCTGTCAGCATCAGCCACCGAGTCGGCCGGGTGCGGTAAATGATGAGCCAAAGACCAGAGAAAATGCTCAAGCTCGAACACTACTGTCCGTATTTTCAAATGGTTTACTCAGTTATATTGGTCTTTGAAAGGCATTTGTGTAAAGGATTGTGGGCGTATGTACTTAAATTCCGGCTCTCCATTTACCGAGAGTATGTTAAGGCTGAAGTCTTAGTTAATTGGAAGAGATTGGTGTTAATATTATTCCATAAAAGATTATTTATAAAGTAATATTGGAGATGGAGAGAGTTACTGACGTCCGTAGCTGTTGCTCTTTTTTAAAAATTAATGGCTATGTGGCATTCTTGCTAAATGGAGAAATGTAGAGCGAAAACATTTAAAGCCATAGTAATGGTCATCAAAATAAGTTGCCAGAAGAGCAGAACAGATCGTAACTCATGGGGTTCGAAGTATGGTTGTCAGTAACAGTAATTATTATCATAATACCTCATCTAGTGCCTTTTATCCCAACAGCTCAACATGGTCTTAGGTTCATTATCTCCTCCTCTGTGCGGGCCACTTGAGTTATAGAAAGACACACTTGGCCGTTTTTCATTTGGCAAACACACTGAAAGATAAACTCTCTTACCCAAAGTGAAATAGTGCTTGTCAGATTTAGGAGTCCGTATTACTTTCCCTCTGGTCAGTCCGGGTCCAGCGTCCCTGTGGCTGAGGCCGCTTCTGCAGTGGGTGCCATCGGGAGCCCGAGGCTGTTCCTTCTGCAGCAAGGCCGGCCCAGCCCCGAGGGGAAGTGGCTCGCTCTGGCCAGGTGGCACCTGCCTTGCCTGCCCCCACGGGCATGGGGCGGGGACATTGGAATCTCTGTCGGCTCTGAGATTCTGCACCCCTCAGTAACTAAGGGACTGCGGTGACAGGCAGCCCTTCTGCCCCTGTAAAGAACCAGGTTACAGTGTTTGCTTTGTTTTGTTTTCCCCAGAGTTCAGTGAGACGTGCTCTGTGTCGAAACTATTTCCTTTTACACGTGTTTTGCTAGTCAAATATGAAAAGCCACTAAGCATCCACTGCGACAGAAGATAAATGAGCAATTGGATGAGACAAACTCTGTGTGGACTCTGGGGAAGGAACAATTTATTCCGGTGAAGGCCCCTTGCCTTAATTACAGGCACGAGTGTGGAGAGAGCGGGCCACACCTGGGTCTTTGCTAAACATGCACTCAGGGAAGCCTGAGCCAGGCTGGTGGAAATGCACAGATGTTCTGAGAACAGCTGCTTGACTGGTAGAAAGTCAGTGGAACCAGAACGAGTTTTCTCTGTTACCGAGATGCAGAACGTGCTCATGCAGACACACACTGCGTCACTGCCGTGTTGTGGGTACGTGTGTAACAACACGCATGCAAGTATGTTTACATGATGCAAATAAATAATACAATACTTAACAAATAAATAGTAATACAAGAATAAACTTGCATGCTCACAACTGTAAACGTACTTTAGCCCACCCCTATAAATGGATGTGTAGGTATATTTTTTCCAAATATCTTTACTTTCATGGATTAGCCACCTATGGAGTCTTCTGACTAGAGACCCCAGAATGGTTGCGCTCATGGTCTCCTACTTTAGAGAATATTTTCTTCCGTCTTCCATTCAAGGATCAACTGTTTTTCTTTCTGGGCTAATTGAGCAGTTCCTAAACCCTTCTGATGGAAGACTCACCACATGATACTGTTTCTTAGTTTCTTTTTCTTTCTCACCCCTGCCTTACAGTTTCTCCTTTAGCTCCATCTCTGTGGCCACGCCCTTGCTTTGCCTGGAGGTACAGAGTACATGCACAGAGCTAAGGGAGTTACTAGCAAATGAAACCAATAAGGGAGCCTTCTTCCAACATTGCTCATTGGAACAATGCTTCATTTCCTCTGTAAACCATGAGAAAGGCATTTTTGTCATCTCCCCAGCTCAGTTTTCATTCTTGCATTCCGCCCTTCTGTCCTCATCCCCTGGAAGGTGTGGTCCAGTAACATGAACATGCGCATTGGCTAATACCAGGTTTCTGGTACATGTCCGCTTGGTCAAAGTTCCAGTCTCACAAGTTCCCTTGAGGTGGAGCTGTATGGAAAGTTACCTACTTTTTTTTTTTTAATCCTCACCTGAGAATATTTTTTCATTGATTTTTCAGATAGAGTGGGAGGGAAGGAGGGAGAGAGAGAGAGAGAGAGAAAGAGAGAGAGAGAGAGAAGCATCTATGTGAGAGACACACATCTATTGGTTGCCTCTTGCACGACTCCAACCAGGGCCGGGGATCAAACTATAACCGAGGTATGTGCCCTTGACTGGAATCGAACCCGCGGCTCTTTGGTCCTCGGCCAACATTAACCGCTGAGCCAAACCAGTCATGGTGAAAATTACCTCCCTAACTTGAGCTCAGCCCACACCACTGCATCTCATCTGCATTAACTTGTGCTGAGCACCCTTTGACCATAGCCATGAGCCTAGGTGGCCTCGGCTCTGAGCACCTGCACAGCCAGGGTCGTTCTTCTGGGGCCCGATCTCCACTGGGCTCCGAGTGTGAGCTCTCCGCGGCGTCTCCAGACTGCGGCTCGGCAGGGTTGGACACTGTCGGCACCTCCTGCAAATGCTCGTTGTACTTGGATTACACAAGTATGGTTTATGTTTTCAGGGTTCTCCTTTCCTCAGCTTGACTTCAGGGTGACTCCCAGTACCTCGGAGACATTTTCGACAATTTCCTCTCGATAATTATCACTTCACCAAGTGGTCAGAATCCCCTCTCCTCTGGGCAAAGAAATCCTAGCATTCACCTGAGCATTCACCTCTCTTGATGCTATCACCAAACACATGTTTATTCTCGGGTGAGGGTTTTCGGACTATTGATTCTGCAGAGCATTGCTGCTCAGTTTGCTGGCCCCACGTGGATCTGGATGCGGTGTGGCCTGCTCGGTCGCCGGGTGTGTTTGCAAGCATGGAAGTACTCACGGCCCTGCAGATAACGGAGAGGGTGGAGCACAGAGCAACTGGAAATTGTGTTTAACCTGGAGGCACATCCATGACAGGCTTGGGTTCACATCCCTTGTTTGCCCTTAAAACTCTGAGCCCAAGTTCCCTCATGTGATAGAGAGTAGTACCTACCTCCCGAGGTTGATGTAAAGGATGAGTGAAATAACACAGGTAGAGCACTTTGCATGAAAATTGGACCATAGCAAGCATTCAGTGAATGAAAAAAATCTTCCTTCTGAACAGTTTCTACACATTCACAAAGATCCCTGAAGAGGCTCTAGTTCTTTTTTCTACGGTAGGAGTTCTCTCCCTGTGATTTAATTCTCTTGTTGGATTCTCTCATTATTCTTTTTAGTTTTGAAATTTTTTTCTTATTTGTTGATTTGAGAGAGAGAAACATCGGTTTGTTGTTCTTCTTATTTATGCATTCACTGGTTGCTTCTTGTATGTGCCCTGGCAGGAGATTGAACCCGTAACCTTGGCATATTGGAACGATGATCTGATCAACTGAGCTACCCAGCCAGGGCCAGTCATTGTTGTTTTTAAATTCAAACTATTTGAATATCACTTCCTAAAATTTAACTCTTCTGCTGTTGCTTTATATTTATGTCTCTGCATGGAATATTTCCTTCACTGTTCTTTTGATAAGAACAGAGTGAGAAACTCCATAGTCAGTTCATCTCTGTCCCTCAAAGCACACAGCACCAGGTTCCTCAAGCATCGGTTTGACGTCTGATGAATAATTTTTTGTGTTTTGATTTTGTGTCTTTCCCCAGATGACCTTGTGGTGCAGAAGCCAGAGCTCAGCACCCCCTCCATCTGCCACGCCCCTGGAGGAGAGTACTTTGTAGAAGGGGAAACATGGAACATAGATTCTTGCACTCAGTGCACCTGCCACAGCGGGCGGGTGATGTGTGAGACAGAGGTGTGCCCGCCACTGCTCTGCCAGAACCCCTCGCGAACCCAGGACTCCTGCTGCCCACAGTGCTCAGGTAACAGCGCCGGGCCCGGGAAGCACGTGTCAGGAAGGCTGTTGCTCCGGCCTTGTCATTGCGCAGGTCGAGCCCCATGTGGGAGGGTCCCAGAGCCTGTCACTGTAACCCAGGCGAGAACATGTGGCAGGCAGCCTGCTTCACATCCACTCGTCCACCACGTCTGAGTTCATGTGCCTTACACCTGAGGTGACTTAGGAGCAATCGCATTTTTTCCCCATTCTGCCAGTGTTTTAAGCCTACATCTCAGACTCAGGAGACAGTCCTGCTTTAGCAAATGATTCCAAGTGATTTTGCTGATGTGAAAAGCCACCTTTGCCTTTAACAAATGGGAAGGACAGTTATTGATAAATAATATCAATAAAATGATCTGAAACACATAAGGGTGGTGAAGATACTTTGAGAATGTTAAGCAGGGGAATCACTAAATATATATAATGCTCACGCCCTCCAGCCTGTGATGATTAATAACAAGGTCCAAAAGAATTAAGTGACTCGAACTGCATGTGCAAAGAGTAACATTGTTTTCTTCTTTTCATTCTCAGATGGTCTGGCCTTGGGTTAATCTATGGTCGTGAAACAAATATAATCAAATTTTATCAGGATTTTAAACATGAGTTACTGGTTTGTAGCTAAAGTAGCACTTTAGTTACACTAGAATATATGACCTTTTTTTCCGAATTAACACTAGAATAGATGACTTTTTCCAAAAGATACTTAATTTGTATATGTAAAATTACCTAGTTGACAGCTCACTAGTTTTATTTTGTTGTTGCTTCATTTTTTATCTTTTCAACTTAAATCAATAACGATTTACCTTCTAAATCTATAGGGCATTTCTATGCATTAAAACATCAACCCTTGCATTTTACTACTCTTTAAATGTTATTGTTTTACATTGGATCATTAGTTGGCTGGCCAGAATCCACTGCTCTGTCATCCCATCCAGCACAGTGTCCTCAGTCTTCGGGGTTCACATGGTAGTCTGGTTTGAGGGGCCTCAGGTGAACTTGCAGGAATGGCCACACATGTACCCTTGTCATCATCCATGCCACGGAGAGGTGACCATCTTAGTACAAAATCTTCGGTGTAATTAGCAGCCATGGTAATCCGAGAAGCTTAATTAGTGCAGCATCTTTTCTGGTATAAGTACTAGTTCATGTGTATTTCATTGTTAGGCTATGTATAATCCAGTCCCTGCCGTGTTTTCATTATCATCACTGTTTTATTCAGATGCAAATTCTGCTGCTGATTCTGTGTTACTATATAACCCTGACTATTTCCATCCTCCTGCTAGAAACCACTTGGCGTGGTCTCTTCATTGGTGACCCTGAACTTATACCCATTTAGATAGTCATTTTACGGAGACTGTGGAAGGCCTGTGTTGAGCCATGGGGATGCCCAGGTTAATGAAAATAGACACTGCTCCTGTCCTGTAGAGCAGTCATGCGAAAGAATAGGCAAGCACTCCGGCATCCGCGTGTAGGGACGTAATGACGGAGTGAGGACTGTACGTAAGGGACAGAGTTAAGAGCACACGTGGCCCAGGAAGCTCTAACTAAAGCAGGAAGTACTTCTGGTACCACTTGCTCTGGGGTCTGAGGACAAATCCAGGAGATGATTGAAGGAGGGAGAGTGGAGGAAGGGGCTTCTCCATGACCAGTGGTCCAGACTCATTGGCAGGACACCTGACTGGACTCAGAGGTTCAGCCCAGAGATGCGGGGCCACCTGACAATCGTCTCCTGAGTGGGAGGGTGGGGTTCTTCATGCCCGTCTCAAGGCGTGTGTGCAGAGGCCTGGCGGACTCCAGCAGAGCAGGACTCCGCCGGAGGTTCCTGAGGGGACAGGCACCCTGTGTGCCCGGCTGGACTTCTCGTTTATGAGCGTGCACCTGGGAGACAGTTCCCTCTCCTTACATATACCTGTGCGAGAACTGCAGCGTCAGGGTTTTCTGCTTCATACATCAGGATTACAAGGAGAGGAAGACCGTTTCTGGAATCTATTTTAAAATCAATCACCACCCCATAATTGATCTTTCTGAACTTTCCACTCATAGTTGTATTATAGTGCTAAAAAGATAAAAAATCTTAAAATGCAAAACATTCATTTCCTCCTGTCACAGTAAATGTCAACAGTCGCATTGACAAATGGTATGTCACACATGGAGAAAAATGCCACCTCTCCCCCTAGGAGACTTGCATTAGTCCGAAAGCGACATCTATGGACAGCAGGAGGGAGTTCCTGCCAAGGCGGGTCCCCGAGGTGGGTGTGTCTCCCGGACGCCTGTTGCTCCCTCTGTCCCTCTGCGCCCCTCCTCCGCCCGCGTGGAGCAAGGTCCAGACTCGGGGTCACCAGGGAAGGCTGACCAGAGTGATCGAAGGGAGAGAGCACGATGGTGCTTTGTTCTTGTTTTCAACTTTTTAAATTCTCTTTCTTCTTTATTTTCCGGAATTGTAAAGCAGCATAACATGGGAAATAGAGGGAAATAGAGTAGAAATAAAAAGAATGGGTGAACACTAGTAAAAGAGCTAGTTCTGGAAGCAGAAGTACGAGGAAGGTGTCTCTGGGGCAGGAAGAGCAGGAAGAGGGGCCCAAGAAGACGTAGTCCTGGGCACACTCCCGAAGGGCCCGCAGCCAGCCAGGGTTTGGCTCGGACGCCTCCTGCCTGGGAGACGACCCGCCGAGTCTGCACCGCAGCGGCGACGCGCTCCAGTGCTACCAGCCCGCCTAGGTGTCCTCCGGGGTCCTCTCCAGGCCCCAGCAAGTCTTCAAGACTTGAAAAGACTAGTTTCAGCCGTTATTTCATAGCTGTAGAGACGCGGTGCCGGCTTCCCGGTCCAAGTGTTTGGACTGCGGCTGGGCATCGCCGGACGAGCTGAGCCCGAGCCCACGGCACGTCGTGGCAGTCGGCAGGGCCTGGCGGGGGCCAGAGTGTGAGTTGTCTCATTCCAGCCAAAGCAAAAGTTGGCATTGGTCCGTCTCTTAAAAAGAAAGTATTCCTGGACAGGATGACCCAGAAGGGTCGCTGAGAAGGGACCCTGTCTGGCCCTCTGACCGTGTGGGTGGACTCTGTGGAGCCCAGGACGCCCGGGCACACTCGGGGCAGTGGAACCAGTGGCCCTTTCGGTCGTGACTGCCTTGGCGACTGGTCACCGGGTTGCGGCTACACGATTTAAAGGAGAAGGTGCGGGCCCACTTCCGACGCTGACGTCTGCGGTCGGCCCTCGGTGATCGGTTAACCAGCTCCAGACTCTGCCGCGATACGTGAATTTCCGCGGAGGAGGATTCTCTGTTCGTACGCAGTCCTCCCTCGCCGCTTCGCGCTCCGGCTTCCGCGGCCTCGCGCTCCAGGGTTTTCCGCATACTGCGCTATCCCATGAAGACAAACACTGTGCTAGGCTAGTAGACACAACCTCGGTGGTGGAGCCGCGAAGGGCCAGCGCGAAGTGGGGGGGGCGCTGTATTCTCAGAGGCTCTCGGGTCAGACTCCCGGCTGCAGGGTGTGTTCGTGCGGGGGTGGCAGGAGGCGACTCTCGGAGCCTCTGGTTCACTGGGGTCACTGAGGTCACTGAGAACTCCACGTCGGTCTCAGCTCTTCCTGGGCGCGGCTGAAGGCAGCAGGGTTCCTGGAGTGATTCTGAGATGATTCTTATGACGACGAATCTGCTGAGAAAACGGGGTTCTCGTAGACGTAGGACGCCTCGGCCCCTTCAGTCATGCAAGTGGTTGGAAGTGCCTTCTCTTCCAGTGAATTGTGAGGCTTCTAAACTAGGACCCTCACCAACAATTTTCTGTCACATCTCGGTCATTTTTCTGCTTGAAGCTACAGTTTCTATGTCATTTCAGTGAAGGGCAGGACCCAAAGGGATACCTGGGTTTCTTGGTGACATCTTTTTCCATTTCCTGTGATAACTAGGTCTGGGAACTCTCTGGTCAGAGTCTTTAAGAGCAAAGACACGAGACTTCTCTGTGGGCGCATCCCTGGGGGTGGTTCGGGTCCGTCCCCTCTCAGCCGTCCAGGTGAATGGTCCACGCAGGGATACGCCACGTAGGTGCTCTGGCAGGCGCGGTGGAAATCTGGGTATTGATTGCTCGGGATGGTGAGCAGGTGCAAGTCAGAGGAAACTCAGCTGCAGTTTTTAAACAAGGAGAGGGTTCTTTTACCTGCATCACAGGAAGTTTGGAGGCAGATGTTGATGAGCATTATTAATTCAGCGTCTCGGTGATGGCAAAGCCTTTCTCTTACAGGTAGGATAAGGACATTACAGTACAGGTGACATACTCATATTCAAGGCAGGAAGAGTGTGGAGGGATGGCAGTAGCATCCCATCTGCTGTTTGAAGAAAAGTGACAGCTGTCCCAGAAATCCTCTTGGTAGCCATTAGGTCCCATTAGCCACAACCAGGTGACGTGGCCACCCCCAGTTGCCAGGGAAACTGGCAAAGCAGGGAGCAGGATGGTCCTGTTTGACTTATACCCATTGTGGCTCGGGTCCCCAACCACCCCCCAGAAATCAGGACTTGAAGCCACAGAAGGAGTAAGGCAGACACTGCCAGCCGTGGCGGTGCCTCTGCAGCAGGCTCGCCATGGTCTTTGTCGTGTGGCTTTAAAATTCAAGTGCTGGCGGAGTCAGACCTGCCATTTCGTGGCTGGGACAGTCACGTACAAAGGCACAGTGGCGGTGCTTGCCGGGAGGATGAACCCCTCTGCGCCGCCCAGTGGGTGGCCGCCGCCTCTTCCCCTGCTGACCTTGTTGGTGTTTCCAGATGCGCCGCTCCAGCCCTCCGCGCCCCACAACGACAGCGCGCCCAGTTACTGCAAGAACGACGAAGGGGACATATTCCTGGCAGCCGAGTCCTGGAAGCCCGACGTTTGCACCAGCTGCGTGTGCGTGAACAGCGTGATCAGCTGCTACTCCGAGTCGTGCCCGTCGGTGTCCTGCGAAAGACCGGTCCTGCGGAAAGGCCAGTGCTGTCCCTACTGTATAGGTAAGACCCAGGGAAAACAGCCCTCGTCTCTGTCGGGGCCGCTAACTTCACCAACAGCCCTTTGCCTCGATCCATTCGTAATTTTGAAGTATGGTTTTCTGGCTGACATGCCACACAAGCCAAGCAGTAATGTCAGGCAGGGGAAGGCTGTGGAGGGTGTGTTCCCGAGCTGGAACACGGGAGGAGTAAGACGCTCTCTCGGATGCCGTGACGTTGCGGCGCTGACGGCTCCGTCAGGCGGCCTTGCCGTCGGGGTTTCCACGACCAGAGCCGTCCTGCTCCAGCGCCGCGGCAGGCACGGCGCTGGCGGCTGCCTGGAGAACAACCCGCTGCAGACACTGACTTCGTCTCCCCGTCACTCTCTGTCTGCCGACACTTAACTGACTTCATCTCAACCCCTCAGTTGTCCATCTTCAGGGCCTAGGGACGCAGAGGGAGTCCTGAGTAACTGACAGCCCTCTCCTTCCCGCGGCCCCTGTGAGCAGAGGACGTGCGTGCTAGCCTCTGACATCTGCACCAGACCGGTCCTGTGGACATGGGCCAGATGCTGTCTGGAGTCCAGAAGGCGACGCTCAGACAGCTGGCAGCCTGACAGCGGCCCCGGCCCCGCTCCCAAGGCTCTCGCGCTCCTTTATTGCTTTTGTAGCAAGTAAAGCTCCTAAAGTCAAGTGAAAGGCAGTGGCATAGCTCGGTCCAGCCGTGAGCCTCTGCTCCGAGGAGCAGGTGGAAAATTGGGCAGGCAGTATTAAATCAGGCAGGCTGTACTAATTGCAGGTATTGTGCGCTTTTTTTGTTGGAGATTTTTGCATGTTTTCTAGATACAAGTTACTGCCTGTGTTTGGGGTGATGTCTGAGGAGGAGAGACCTAGCCACAGAGCTTTGTAGCAGTTCCCACAGGTGAGCCCGTGAAAGGCGCTCAGGTGCGTGTTGGCCATGACTCGGCTCTCAGGACAGCTCCCTCTCCTTGTTGGGGCCTCTGGCCACTAGACCGAGGGCCTCTTCTTCTGAGTCTTACTCTGCACGTTGATATACAAGAGGTGGAAAGATATTTTAAAACCACAGTTTCTGCTCTCCGGAATTTTATAAAACTCACTTCTCTCAGTGCAGGGGTCAGGGGGGTTTAAGTTGATTTTTGAAAGCGGGATTCTCTTTTCACAGGTGGACCATCTATGTAATGTGTTCCTCAGACCACGATGCTTTTGAGAGTGAAAGGGGATCGATGAATAATTCATGATGGGACAACAGCTGTAGACCAGGGATGTCCCGGCAAACTGGGACTGTGGCTGCCCTTTCATGACTGGGACGTTGGGCTCCGCTGCAGGACCCTAGGCTTTGTAGCTCCTAATGAAGCCAGAAACGTTTCAGGGCATACACATCCAGCCTGGTCTTTTCAAAGAGCCGACCAAATTCTGTGGAAAACAGCACTGCCTTGGTTGAGGTCTATGTAAAAGGTACACCTAGGCCACTATTGGAGGCCCGAGGTGGGAGGAGGAGGGTGAATGGCCAGTATCACTATATTTAATTATCAGAACATCAGTACTGAACGAGCCGTCCATGAATCCGCCAGCAGTGCCTGGCTCACGCTCGGGGAACGGGGCCCGGGAGGCCTGAGAATTGCATGCTACTTTCAGAGGAAAATCTAGCATTGAGTCGCTTGTGTGTTGAAAGTTCTGGTTATTTTGCTTAGATAAAAGTTCTGTTGTGTTTTGCTACTTAATTGATAACTTGGTAATTAGTAAGTTGTTCAGTTAGTAAATTTGTTCCCAAATGATAATGGAAAATCATTTCTCTCTCTCACAAAACCAATTTAACAAATTTAAACTGATGAAAAGACACCTGCAAGGCATAGTGCTGTGTCCTTGCTGTTTTTCATTTCTTATATTTTTGCTTTTATAGTTCCTATTCCAGTTTCTGCATTCTTTAGATCAGTGGTTCTCAACCTGTGGGTCGCGACCCTTTTGGGGGTCGAACGACCTTTTCACAGAGGTCGCCTAAGACATAATAGTAGCAGAATTAGTTATGAAGTAGCAACGAAAATAATCTTAAGGTTGGGGGTTGCCACAACACGAGGAACTGTATTAAAGGGTCGCGGCATTAGGAAGGTTGAGAACCACGGCTTCAGACTATACGTTCCTCTTCAGGGTGAGGAGGGAAATAGCAATATGGTGATTTTGATTTTAAGGTAAATGGCAAGCACTTCCACTACCTGTGGTTCCTGTAAGCTCAGAACGGCGCACAGGAACTTTTTTCTGTTACCTCTCCTTCCACAACGACCCCTGACACAGGTGTGATTGTATCACATAAACAATGACCTGTCTTCAGGGGGACACTTGACATTTGCTGAGCATACTGTGTGCTGCTGTTCACTCATTCACCTTGATGCTTCACACATGTTGTTTTGTGATTGGAATTGTTATGAATCCCCTTCCATACTCATCATACTTTTTTTGCAAGTAGCCTTGTTACCTTAGCCTAGATCCTTTCTCCCCCTTGAGTCCAAGCATGCAAGGTCAGGTCTGTTCTTGACTGTGATGTGGGATTTTCTGCCTCCAGTTCGCGCCCTCTCCCCCCCAGGCTCCTCTTAGTTCCCCGTGCGCGGGGTCCCTCTGTGAGGAGGGCGCCAAGCCCCCCAGCACCAGCACACCTGCAGGCATATGCTTCAGTGGCAAAAAGCCCGTACCCGCCTCCGGAGATACCTCACCAAGAAAAAGATGCACAGGCCATGGCTTTGCATGTCCTAAAGTACCCAACTGCTCCTCCACTGGGCACGCGGGACCAGGTTGGCACTGTCTCCCGTCTCAGGCTTTCTCAGACTGAACCCAGCTCCTTCTGGACCCACGTAAGCTGTTCCGGGGACGTGTGCCCCACCCCAGCCTGCAGAGCTGACCTCCCAAGGCTGCACACCTCCCTGGGTGAACATTCTCCCTGATTAGTCATAGATCTCTATAAACACCTCAGCCCTGCCTTTCGCCTGACTTCTCTTTTGGCGATAAAACCCCTAAACAAAAGCATGCTGCTTGCTTTCACCTTAGTAAAGTACTATTCTTTTCTCTTCCCATAGGAGAATTGAAAAGTGGTGATCCCTCTAAAAGCAGCGTAATTAGGAGTTTTTGTGTTCCTTTCAGCTAAATTATCAAGCCTCTAATGTGCAATGATAATCTTTCTCTTTGATGTGTGAAGGCCTCATCTTATGTGCACTAATTTAGTAGAATGTGTAACACAGACATAATAGGATTGATGAGTAATTCTGAAAAGTGAATGGCTTTGTCTAATTACTTATAATATCATAGTGATCTTCAACTAGCAAATGATTACTATTTCTCCTTAATAGAGGCATGTCTGCACTTCATATCAAGTCAGTCTACTACGCAACATGCATAGTTGCTTAGGTTTGTTTGTTTAGGTATCTTTTCCTAAAGATAAATATATACAGTATCTCTTTGGGAAATCTGTTGAACATTGTGTATTTAATTCAGCCCAGGAATCAAACATAGTAAATACAGGGGTGGGCAAAAGTCGGCTTACAGTTGTGAGTACACTAGGCAGAGTGTGTTCTTGTATTATTATTGATTATTGTATTATTTGTATTATAACTGTAGACCTACTTTTGCTCACCCCTGTATTTAATTTTGAATCTCTAAGATACATAACCCATGGAAATACATGTTGTACATTTTTAAGCCATAATGTCATTATTCTAGCATCTTCACTGGAAGATTTTTCACAGCTGTTTCTCCAATGTGTTTTCTTAAAATTAAGAACGACTCTGTATTGGAAAGAGAACTCACTCACGGAGCCAGAGGGTTGTGATCCCAGCTCTGGCACAGTCTAGCGTCGTGTCTCAGTGGAATGACAGAACCCTGGCTCAGCTTCCTCCTCTGTACGACGAGAATAAGAACGTTGTCCTGTTCTTCACTCAGGTGCTCTGAAAGGTCGTCGTCTACACAGGTGCAAGTGCTTTGTGAACGGCAAACACAATGTGAGTGTGTCCTGGCTCCGTACGGTTGCAGCCCTTTAACACGAGTGCAGCTGGTATGGGCGCCATACATCGGGGATTTGATATTTCCCTTTCAAGAGAGCACCTGTCTGCCTTTGTGCACAAAAACAGGCCTGGACAGAGCGTCCCGTTGATGAGCTTTTGGAAGACGAGGGTAGTTTTAATAAGGCTTTGGTGGTGTGCCTTGTCCTGCGCACTTAGCTTCAGTGGCCCAGGACCACTCTGCTCAGCTTCCTGGGATGGGGGCCACGTGCTTCCGGAGGGTCTGTTCACAGACCTCAGAGGTGCCCTGCTCTCCCGTGCCTCTGGGTGTCACCAAGCGGGGAGAGTGGAGCTCTTTTATCTCTGTGAGTCTGTGGACTTACTGCACGTGATCTGTGTGATTCCTGCAAACAGTACGTGGCCTGTCTAATCAGGGCGGACTCGTGGGAAACAGCCCACTTTGCTCCCTGCGCCCCAGTTCCGTGGCCCCTGCCCCGCAGCCCCGGGGTCACAGGCAGTTCTGTGGGGACATTAAGGGACACGGGGCACGTTTCTGTGTATTGTTTAGGGGGTGAGGACTATAAGCATTCTGGCTGTCATGCTTTGCACTCACTCGTGAATGGGTCTGAAGTTGTCACCGCAAAAATAAACAGTTTGATCTCAGTGTGTGTAGGTTCCCCTCCGCCCTCGGAAGCATCTCGCTCATTACATAAGCAGCTCTCAGTCTCCCCCTGGCTGTGTGGGCAGAACTGCACGTTGTTCTGGTTAACTTGGGGGACCCCCAAGTGGCATCGTTGTATTTCAGAGAGGTCGTTGCGCAGAAAGGAGGCTGGCACTTCAGCGACCGCACCAGCAGGTGCCTTGCACTTATTTCTGTCCAGGAGGCCAACCCTGATTTTGAACCCTCTAAAAGTTGGGGAAAGGCCCCCTCTAGGAGGATTCCAAGTCTGATGAGGAAATGTGATCAGACTGGATGCCAGTCCGCAGACCCTCTGGGGGGCTGGCAGAATGTCGTGGACAGCATGTAACTGACGGTGAGACATCTGCAGCTACAGAAACCGGCCCCTGGGACGTCCAGTGGCTTCCGCAGGGTTTTCTGGGTACGGTTCCATACTCAAACACTTACCTGGACAGCTTCCTCTAAGACCTGGAGGAAATGTCATGTGTTCCTGTATTTGGGCCACCTTGATCTGTCTTTGTCATTGTCCCTGCCTACCTTTCAGACTACATTCTATATTTACAAAATGATTTCGGTGTATCAGCTCCGTGTACCTGTAGGTACACTTTGGATTGTAGGCCTTGTAAGAAATGAGGCCCCATGTAAAGTTGCACATGGAATGTTTTCTTGACCTTCTATCCATGAAGTCCTTCCTCACCCTGTAGCAGATGCTTGGAGTCAGGTCTGTGACTCAGAGATTCACTCTTAGCATGCAGTGGAAATCAGCCAGACGTCCCTGTGGTGCCATTTTGATTAGATTTCTGTTATACAGAGACCTTGACTCCCATCCCAAGGAATAGGTAGAATAAAATAAGCAACCATGAGCTTCCAAGAAAAGTCTTACACCTGTGCTCAGATTTGCTTTGACAGCAGTGAAGACGTTATATAGAGAGGAGCTGGCCTTCATGGCAACATTTGTCTCTGCTTTTGTGGGTTTTTTTTTTTATAAAAATGAGTTAAGAGCAGATGTTCCATTTATTAGAAGCTAAAGGTTATAAGATAAAGTACTCAAGTTTTGAATTAAATCCATTTTAATTTTTTTGCATTGTCAGCCAAAAACCTTTCATCATTTGCTGACAGAATGACTATGCATCAGATCTCTCTGCCTCATTAAAGTTGTCTAGACCACCTGCGTCATTTTTAGCACGACTTGAGCTGAGGAATAATTTCACGTTCTTTGCCGTCTGATGGTCCAGTGAGCAGCGTATTCAGTGGTCGGCGTCCTCTGTGCCTACAAGTCTCTGCAACTCGTGGTGACCTGCGAATTATTTGCTCATCGTTCTCTTCGTTGCGATTTCCGTTTGTCTCCTCTTTATGTGAACCGTGAACGGTTTCTCAGGCAGGAGGCGCGCACGTGCCGTTTATTCTGCAGATGCGGCGCTTGTGCCGGGCACATGCTCCCCTCGGCCCCGGAAATGAAGGTGGCATCGCAGGCCAGGGATTCCGGTGTCCTGTCCATTAAGAAAGTAGGAGCATCTTCCTCCTGTGGGGAGCGAGAGGGAGAGCGCTGTGATGCATTGTTCCACTTACGGGCTAAAATTCTTAAAAGCTCTTCCCTCGACTCGCCCAGTCAGTGTGTCGTGGGGGGGGGCGGTCTTTCCACTCCCTTTTCTAAATCTCGTGTTACCCAGGAGGTACCTGGTACCTTCGTATACCTGCCTCAGTGATGTCTGTTAATCCCTCGAACTCAAGTATAAGAACCCAAGCTGAAGTGTAATGTCAGCAGCGTCAGCAGTCTCCACGTCTTTTTCACACGTTCGGCTCGTCCATTTGGACCTGGAATGGCACAGGCCTGATGGGGCCTCTGGACCAGAAGCCTCCCCCGGGGCAGAGGCCCCCCTGCCCGGACGCCTCCGAGTCCGTGTCTGGATGGCTGCTCCCCACCACGCAGCGCGAAGCGGCCCCACTCCACCCTGCGCTGGGCGGTTCTGCGGGGGACTTACTCTGAGTGGGAGCAGCATTCAGTTCCTGGCCGCTGGGCTCCCAGAGCAAATTACTTTTCAGGACTCGAAATAGTCCACCGGGGATTTGAAAGAACTGATGCCGTTTCTAAAGCTGCCTGACTTCCTCCCAGGAAGTGACTCCCACACCGAGACTCCGACTCCATGGCCACCAGCAGACACAACCAGATTTAGACCTGGAGGATTTATGCAAGGACACTGTCTCCTGGCAGAACTGGAAACGTCCACCTGTAACATGGGTTCAGGGGGGTGTAGATTTTATGTTCCTCCCCAGAGGAGGGGGACGGGGGTCTGGAGATGCTTTTTTCCAGGGCTCATGTACGTCCCTCCCCGTGGTCGGATCCACCCCATCAGCCATTCCCGGAAGCCTGAATTGGATCTTCATAGTCGAAGAAAACATTTCTAGGTTCTAGGTTTTCCCTAGCTGTTAATTAGCTTTCTAGTGTAATTAGTAAAACCGCGCAAGAGGAAAAGCAGAGTCCAACTTGAGTAGCCTGTGAAGGCTTCTTTTCTCGTCTTGAGAGAAGTTGGAACACTGGAGAAGTCAGCTTGAACGGAGCTGGCACCTCAAGGCCTTGCCACTTTTCCATCCCCTTTGTGTCAGCCAGAATAGAGGGGGATGAAAGAAGGAAAAACCGACGCCGAATTCCCCGCGCTCCACCCTGGAAGACATCACGTACTTTTATTGTGGTCATCAGACGATTCAGGAGAACGTTGCTTATGTTTGAGTCCAGGGAAGATGAGGCGAGTCTGAAGGAGCCCGGGCACAAGCACCCCGGGCCCGGACACTGGGTGGACAGGCCTGCAGAAGCAAGGCCCCCTTTCCTAGGCAGGAACTCGGCTCCTCAGACTGGCCGGACTTCATTTCAGGCCGAATCTGATGACCGAGTTTGAGGCCAGAGCTGAGGAAACCAAATTCCATGACTGACCTAACCCGAGGCCTGGCCTGAAACCAGTCACTGTCTCCCTGGCACGTTCTGGGGCAGCTCTGGGGGCCGTGGGAAGGCCGGGCAGTGTGCTCGGAACGTGGTCGTAGCCCTCTTCCGGCTGCTAGAGCATCACACTGTTACGGGTGTGTCACTGCAAACACATCAGCAGCAGTGTTTGTTTCAAAAATAAATCGTAGCATATCAGTGTCATACCTCACGTGTTCCTCAGAGGGACAGGGTCTTGAATGCACATCAAGTAGAGCTTGACCGGAGAAGGACCAGGGGTCCTCAGTAACCACTCCTTACCCCATTCCTTCCAGATCCCATCACAGTTTTCCCTTTTCCAGGGACCAGTGATGAGTGGAGGTGTCTTTTGAATTTGTGCATAAAATGTCCCCAGATCAGGAGTCCCCCATGTTGGCCTGCCTGGTGACAAAGTACTGCTCCCACCCCCCGGGTTCCCCCATCTGTCTTCTCCATCTCGGCTCAGCGCTCGCCTGGGCCGCCCCGGTAGCCGCTGGGCTTGAGCTCCCGAGGGACCGTGAGCGCCAGGAGGTCAGTGAGGGCAGGTGACCCAGAAGACACTGAGCCAGAGAGAAGGGGACTTGGAAGGAAAGCATTGGGGAGAGAGAAAATGAATGTGGCAGGGAAATGGAGAAAGAAAGAAGAGCAGAGAGTTTTAAGCTGTAAATTCTTATACATAAAAATAGCTCTTAAAAATATATTGTTCTTGCCCTGGCTGGTTTGGCTCAGTGGTTAGAGTGTTGGCCTATGGACCAAAGGGTCACAGGTTCAATTCTGTGCACGTACTTGGGTTGCAGGTTCAATCCCTGGCCCCCGTCAGGCTCCTGTGGGAGGCAGCCAGTCAATGTGTCTTTCTCACATCGATGTTCCTCCCTCCCTCTCTATCTATCTATCTATCTATCTCTATCTCTCTATCTCTATCTCTGTCTCTTCCTCTCTCCCTCCTTTCCCCACCTCTCCCTCCGTTCCTTCCACTTTATCTAAAAGTCAATGGAAAAATATCCTCGGGTGAGGATTAAAAAAAAAAAAAGTTCTCAAAAACCATATATTGCTGAAAAAAATGGATTGAAGTGAAATGAACTTGTTTTTAAAGTAAACATCTCTGTGGTGAGAAGGAGACCTATCCAGCACCCCCAGAGAGTGAAGGAAATGGTGACGTCGGCTCCGGTCCCCCGTCTGGGACGGTCCAGGACACCTAGCCGGTCACTGTGACACGCCTCCGTCATTCCTCACTGCTCCCCCGATCATTTACAAGAGATTAACTAAAAGTAGGAATTTTTTTAATTATCTCTATAAACATACTCAGCTGGGCTTTATAATAAATCTCTTTCCAGATAGAACTAAACCTCCTAACGTGCCTCTACCGACTTGTATTTCAGTTTCTGTTCTCCCAGGTAGCATGTTCAGCCATACGATGACTGCATTGTGTCTTTTGTGAGCCTAGTGACCCTTACCCAGTGGGTGTCATCCTGGCTGCTTGTGACAGTCACGCCCTGTGTTCGCCCCGTGGCCCTCGGTTAGCCTCAGGCCACACGATGCCCGTTCGGAGGCTTGTCCTGAGCAGAGGGAACAGGCACGGGTGTGAGGAGCACGCTGACTGCAGAGCGGTCCCGTGTGTCTCAGCACGATGGGGTGATGTGCTTGGTCACCTCAGGCCACCCAGCTGTGCTGTTCTCTCCCCTAGAAGACAGCATCGCGAGGAAGGTGGTTTGCCGCTTCGGCGGGAAGGCCTACGCGGACGAGGAGCGCTGGGACATCGACAGCTGCACGCACTGCTACTGCCTGCAGGGCCAGACCCTCTGCTCCACCGTCAGCTGCCCGCCCCTGCCCTGCGCGGAGCCCCTCAACGTGGAGGGCAGCTGCTGCCCCATGTGTCCAGGTAGCGGAGCCGCCGTCCGCCACTGTGTGGGCTGTGAATTGCTTGAGGATGAGGGGTGCCCGCGGCCCAGGCAGTGGGCTGGGCCAGCTAAAGTGCCCCTGTACATAGACCCGGGGCGGGGGGGCTCGGGAGGTGGCCAGCCAGGCAGGGCCTGACTTTGGTTCTTCTGATTTGCGTTCTCTCCGCGTCGGCGGCAGCACTGTTCATGGCATAACAACGTCCTGACATCCCCTGCCCTGGCCGGATGTCACAGTTTTACTGTGGCGTTGGACCAGCCTAGGGAGAATGGTTCCGGGTCAGACCCAGTAGGAAGTGCAAGGAGAATGTATATCAGAACCCAGAGGGAAGACCTAGATCTACAGAAGACAGGGTGACTCAGTCTGTTTTTAGTTCATCGACTCCAGCAGTACCCACACCGTCCCGTGCAGCTTCTGCCAAGCTCTGCTGACTTGGCATCGGTGCCACGGAGACCACAGCCACTGAGCGGGGCCCCTTGGCTGGGGAACTCAGCCTCCGTCCTCCCCCTCCCCTCCCCCTTTCCTTCATGCGAGTTCGGTGTTCACCTCCTAGCTCGAAACCTAAAGCCCCCTCAGCTGCCCAAATCCTCCCCCAGGGCTGCTTCTCGACCCCGTGTCTGCCTCCTGGATGAAAACCGTTTCCTTTTCCTCTGTCCCTGTCCCAACCCTGCAGGAGCTGAGCCCTGGCAGACCAGAGAGGCTCGCTCGAGGGTGCACTGAGGTCCTGGGCAAGTGGGGGCCCTGCATCTGCACCTCGAGTCTTGCTCCAGGCAGCACAGGGAGCCAAAGTCATACTGAGCAGGGAGCACTCTGCTTAGCACCTTGACGAGAGTCATCCGGCGCAGTGGTGGAGGCACGGTCCAGGCAGAGTGGTTTCAGGAGGGGAGAAAGGGGACTTGGAGGCAGTGGTGGTTCCAGACCATGAGTGCTAAGTTCACAAATCAGATTTCCCTGTGACGCACGGTGGCCTTGGAGGCTTCCACAGAAGGGCCTGAGCTAGACCTCGAAGGACAGGTGGGCTCTTCATTGGCGTGAAGAGGGTCATCTGCCCAAAGACCCTGAGATGGAAAGGTCAAGGCATAATGCCCCTGGACAGGAGAGTTCTGACAGCAGGAGCTAAGAGCAAAACAGCTGTGTCCGGCCAAGGGTTTCAGGGCCGGACCTGAGGTGAAGAGTTTACACCGAGTCGTGGGGAGGCGGGGGCTCATTTCTGAGCAGACGAGTGGTGAGAGCACAGAGGTGCTTTGGGAAGACCAGCAGGGACGGGCCAGAGGCCGGGACGCGAAACTCACGTTGCAGACAGTCCCGGGTGCGAGGCAACAAGGGCCCGGATCCAGGTGACGGCAGGAGGAAGAGAGGTCGAGGTTCACGCCCCTTGGTGTGTGATGCAGTAAGGGAGAGACGCAGGCATCGCTAACCAGCATCCTTGTCCATTACCGGGATTTCGCCAGTGACTTCCCAGTTCGGATTTACTACTAGATTGAAGTTTCATTTCTGTAACTCTCCTTTCTGCACCTGATGCTGTTGCTGCCGACTCCTTCCTCCGTCTTGGCTCTCAGCAAGTTTGCCAGCAGTCAGGCTTTTGCCGCTGACGCTGATGTGTCCCCGCCCGCCGGGAGGGCCGGATTCGCCCTGCTCTCTCCCGGGCGTGGTCTGTCTCTGGCTCCCACTGCTCACCTGCACAGCTCATGCTGCCTGACTAGCCTCACCCTTGACAGAGCACTTGCCCCCGCTGCCAGCTCTGGGCACCAGTACAAAACCTGTGCGCTGGTCAACTGGTTAGTACTTGTCTCATTTCACAGAAGAATCTGAGGCCCAGAAGAGTTCATTGAATTATCTGGTCACGCAGCTGGTCAGCAGACGACCTGGCATCCCGGTCTGAGTGGACTTCAGGTTCCATCTCCAAAGAAGCAGGGCCCCAGCTTGTGAGCCCCAGGCGTTTCAGAAGGGTGCCTCTGACTGTGCCGTGTATCCCCAGAAAGGCGTCTTGGGTTCCTCTGAGGTTCAGATCCGATCTGACCACAGAAGCCATTCATGATGGGGCCCTGTGCCCGTGACCTTTGAGGCCCGGCCCGACGTCGTTTCTCGGCTCTCTGGGCCTGTCACCCAGCCAGCAGCTCTAAAGGGCCCTCGTGGTAGAGGCCAGAGGGGTATATGTTACAGGTGGGATGGAAGCAGCGTTTCTGACCCTCTCGAGAAGAAAGCTCTTTTTCCCCTCCTTTTAAATGGTAAGACCTGCTTCCCACCCTGCAGAGCTGGTGAGTGCGGCAGTCACGCTGGCAGGGCAGAAGCTGGTCTTTCACGCCCCAGGATGTAGAGTGTTGAACCGAATGCACCAGACTGAGGAAGCCGAAGTTGACATTAAGTAGCCCCTCCATCATCTCTTATGAAAACTGTCCCCATCTTTCAGAAATGTATGTCCCGGAACCAACCAATGTCCCCATTGAGAAGATAAATCATCGTGGAGAGACGGACCTGGAGGTTCCCATGTGGCCCACTCCTAGTGAAAATGACATTGTCCATCTACCCAGAGGTAAGTACCAGTCTACCGAGATCTGTCCAGTGTTACGTGGGATCTGCACTGTCCAATTTTGTTTCGAATCCTCACCTGAGGACATGTTTAGAGGAAGGGAGGGAAGGAGAGAGAGAGAGCCATGTGAGAGAGAAACAGTGATTGGTTGCCTTTAGCACATGCCATGACCAGGGATCGAACTGCTGACCTTTCAGTGTATGGGACGATGTTCAACCAACCAAGCGACCTGGCCGGGCTTGTTTGATTTTTACAACTGCCTCGAGATAACTTGGTGAATGGCATGCCAGAGTAAGTTCAGATAGCTACTCTAGAGAACACCTGCTTAACTGGAACACATTTAACCACCCGAATGATAAAGTACGTCTGCAGGCCACTGGGTGAAATGCCTCCTCCTGGCCCCACGTTCAGACCTAGTGATGATGGGACAAAATGTGTTCCTTGTCCGGGGTGGGATTCCTAAGCCATCACTGGTATTTATATGTGTGAATACACTTTGTAAGCAGAGTAATTACAAATTATTCACAGTCCCTTTGGATTCCATGCTAAGCGTTCATATGCATTAGGTCACCCTCTGCTTCTGGGCAGTCTTCACTCCACAAGTTTGATGTATTACGTGTTGATTTCTCCACTCACCAGGGTTATTCCATGCGTTGTCGTTTTCTTCTGTCCCTTCAGCTGTGTATAGTAGAGATGTTATTCTGTCTCTCGGTAGTTCAGGGGCAAAGCAAGGCAGAGTTTCTGTCAGTGCTGCCTTTTCTATAAAAGTAGATTTCTTGATCAAAATGGTATAAACTTACTCTTATCCATGACTCAGTACTGCCTCCTGTCTACTCCAAGGACATTTTCAAAATCATCGGTATAGAATTTTTATAATACGTTTTTGGAAGAAGGTCTGTTACTCTACATATGTGAAGTGTTAGCTTAGATCAAGCCAGGTGACCTGAGAGCCAGCGTCCTGGGTGGTGTTTTGACGTTAGGTTTCCACTCATTCAGTCAGTAGATAGTAGTGATGAGTCTGTACCATACCCTGTGCTAGGTGCGGGGCTTTGGTCATAAGAGCAACCTTCTTTATGTGCTGTGCTGAGGATCTACATAGTGCATAGGAGTTTCTTCATGTAGCAGGGGAATTTACGCTTCTCCTAAGCGACATACTGGTTTTAATCTTACACTGTGAAGACACTTATTGATGCTCTATTTCCATTTTCTTTGATTGTTAGGAAGGCTCAGCCAAATTTTAGGTCCTGCTATTAGCATCCGAACAGAACTTAAGGACTCAGTTTTGTAACCTTAGTTGAAGTTTCATTTTCCTTCCTCCAGGATTTTCCTTAATTTACTTTTAAAAAATCATCTTGTATGACAGATATTCCTAAAGTCATTTCCAATATCATTTGGAATGTGGTAAGCCAAAACTCATCATTGTGTATTTAAAACCTGAATTCATCAATGTTATTGTCACCTTTGGCATTTTTCTTGATGCTGATAAATCTATTCCTTTTTTCTTTTTCTTCCTCCCTTTCCATAAAGTACTACCATCTACACTGGCTAAAATAATGATTAGGAAGGTTCTCTTTCTCATATCCTCTCACTTACACAAAAAAGCATATTCATAGAAATCTGATTTTTAGCCCCGGCCAGTGTGGCTCGGTGGACTAAGCATTGCCATGGACTGAGAGGTCCTGGTTCTGTTCTGGGTCCGGGCACATGCGCAGGTTTCGGGCTCGATCCCCAGTGAGGGGCGTGCAGGAGGCAGCTGATCGATGTTTCTCTCTCGCGTTTCTAGCTCTCTTTCCTTTTCCTATCTCTCTAAAAAACTCAATAAAAATAGTTTTTAAACCTTCTTTTAACATATTTAAAAAAAGTTTTTTTTCTTTTATTGATTTTAGAGAGAGAGGGAGGGGGAGATAGAAACATCGATGAGAGAGACGATTGATGGGCCGCCTCCTGCACGCCCCCCACTGGGGATCGAGCCCACAGCCTGGGCATGTGCCCTGACCGGGAATCAAACCGGCGACCTCTTGGTGCATGGGTGGACGCTCAACCACTGAGCCACACCAGCCGGACTTAAATCTTATTTTTAAACTACAGATATTCTGACTATCACTAAGCTGTGCTACTTCATGACTGAGTTTCCAGAACAATTTAGGTGCAGCTCCCTTTAAGTATGTGTGTCCTTCCTCTTGCACTAGCCTGGTCTGTGATGCGTGAGACCACCTGACTACAGTGGTTTATTTGAAACATAATAAAAGGAAACTTCATTGTGTGTTCCTGATTGGTATATAGTTAACCTGTTACCTCTGTCTGCAATATTTATTGTAAGAATGACAATTAAAAGGAGCAGAAAGAGCCCTGGCCAGTTTGGCTCAGCAGTTAGAGCGTCGGCCTACGGTCCAGAAAGACCCAGGTTCGGTTCCCGCTAGGGGCACGTACGTCGGTTACAGTTTGTCCTCGGCCCTGGTTGGTGGTCTGGTGGCAGCCACTCGATGTGTCCCTTTCATGTCGATGTTTCTCTCTCTCTCTCTTCCTCTCTCTCCCTCCCGCTCTATCTGAACAAAAAATGGAAAAATATCCTCGGGTAAGGATTTTAAAAAAGGAGCAGAAAGACTCTCATTCATATAAGCAAAATTAAATGTTGTCCCCTGTGCAGTATATTAATAATGAAGGCAGGAAAATGATCTAATGGGCCTGGTGACTTTTCAGCAAATTTATGAAAAGGTATTTTTGCTTAGAGCTCAGAAAACCAGAATACTAATCAAAAGACCAAGCTCTTGATTCTAGCTTAATATTTACTGTTACTCTAGTAATTAATCTTAGCTATTACCCTAGTAAGTCAAAGGATATACTTTGTCTAATCTACTTGCAAGTAAACAGAGAGCTAAGCTAATATTTTTCCTTTAAAATTTTAGAAGCCAATAAAAGCTAATATTAATCAAAATATTGTAGTCGAATTTTTGTGTCTTTTTAAAATCTACTTAAGAATTTTCTTATTTTCTTGACTATCCAGAACCAGCTTCATCCTGCCCAGTTATTAACCTCCTCACCCTAATGTTTGTATTTTTACATCCATCCCTACGCTGTTTGGTTCAACACTAGACTTGAATCATGTTTTAGCCTTAAAGTGTTATGATGCAGTAAAACCAAGTTGCTGATTTCTATTTGCAGTGTCATTAAAATAATCCTTAAAAATTCTGGTGTCGATAATGTTTGTGATCTTTTTTCTCCTAGACATGGGTCACCTCCAGGTGGATCACGGGGATAACAACCGGCGGCGCCCGGGCGAAGACCCTTCGCTGGACAGCATCGCCTCGGTCGTGGTCCCCATTGTGATCGGGCTGTCTATCATCATAGCATTCCTGCTCATCAACCAGAAGAAACAGTGGGTACCCCTGCTGTGCTGGTACCGCACACCGACGAAGGTATCGTCCGGAAGGAGTCCCAGTCTCTCGAATGATCAAACTAGAGAAGCTTGCGTGCTTATTATTTCCTGAAATTGTTATCCTCTATGTCAGCCAGTGAAATGTTTACTTCGCGCTCCGTAGCCTTGTGTGCACATGAAGCTGTAGCCATTGGATGTCTGGTACTGGCCCAGGGCTGGGTCAGTCACGGGATGAACTCACCCATCACCCATTGGTTCATGAAGCCTGACCTTTCTTAGACCCGATTTCCTGGATTTAAAGTTTTCAAGTAAATAAGTATCTCTGGATTGATTCCTAAGTGTTTGGTTACCTAAGAAATTAAAAGCTGGCCACTTGGTGCTTCTCAGTGATTTATCAACTTAGGATTGGGAGAGAAAGAAATCATAAAGGAGGGTGGTGATAATCAGGAGAGCCCAGAAGAGAGCTAGCAATCGTGAGGACGTACAAAAGTCCAAAGGACAGGGAGACGTGTCCGAGGCAAGCAGAGGGGGAGGGAGCGAAGATGAAAGGTAGGCAAGGGAGCGAGGCAGATGTCATAGTGAGGGAGAAAGGATGTGCTTGTGGTCAGATCTGCCTAATATTTAACAGCAAGAAAATTCATTTTCATTAAAGGAAGTAAATTGTGATACTTTCCAACCCTGATTCTACCTTTTTTTTTTTTTTTCTTTTTCTTTCTTGATTTTTAGAGAGAGAGGAAGGAAGAGGGAGAGAGAGGCAGAAACATCGATGAGAGAGGACATTGACTGGCCCACAACCTGGGCATGTGTCCTGACTGGGAATCGAACCAGCGACCTCTTGGTGCAGAGGTCGACGTTCAGCCACCAAACCACACCCGCCGGGCTGATTCTACCTTTTACATTTAGTTTTTTCTAAGAAAAATCATACAGACTTAAGAACTGAAAACAGCCTGAATAATTATTTTATCAAATTTACTCTCTAGAGAACCCTTCCCCATGAAATTCCATCAGATGGTTATCCTGCCTCCGATTTTCTTTTGACAAGAAAGTGCATTGGGCACAGCCTGCGAGCTGAACACGTGGGTGCAGAAACAGGGCGGGACGAGCAGGATGCAGACGGTTGTGCAGCCCGAGTGGTTCGCATCGCCAGTTTATCTTAGAGTCTGCCTGTCTGCCAGCTTCCACTGCTTCCTCCACCCTCTTACGTGCTCGTCTGCACTTCAAGGTTTTGAGAATAGTTGTCACTCATCTCAACAATCCCTTCCCCCTCTCAATTCCTTCATCCACTCCTTTGACGTAATTTATTGCCATTTCCGCTTTAAACACAGCTTGTCAGTGACCCTCCTGAAACTGTAGTTGGTACTAGAACAGTCGTCAGATGAAAGCTCCACAGAGCCTGCCCATCCGTTCACTGTGAAGCTCTTATCCCGCTTGAGTTGGGTACTGATGGGTGTTAATGTGGGATATGCAAAGCAGCTAACTCTCTGTAATTTTTTCTCCTCTCACTAAATAGCCTTCCTCCTTAAATAATCAGCTGGTATCTGTGGACTGCAAGAAAGGGACCCGCGTCCAGGGGGACAGTGCCCAGAGAATGCTCAGAATTGCTGAACCAGATGCGAGATTCAGTGGCTTCTACAGCATGCAAAAACAGAACCATCTACAGGCAGACAATTTCTACCAGACGGTGTGAAGAAGGGGAGTGGGGTGAGGTTTCAGAAGACAGAAGCGACTCAGTCTGCTCTGAAAAGTAAACTAGAGTGTGTGCACTTGCTTAGTGGGCTGGATCGGGTTGAGACTTGATGTGCAGCGCTAAGAACTCCTGGGATGGGCTCTGTCTACAGCAGTGTGCAGAACAAGCATTCCCACTTTTCCTCGAGATAACTGACCAAGTGTTTTCTTAGAACCAAAGTTTTTAAAGTTGCTAAGGTATATTTGCTTGTAATATAGCGGTAGAGATATTTGGGGTGGGACCGTCGAGTTTGGTTGGGGAAGTGGGTGGGAGGGTGGTGTTGGGAGGACAAGTTGGTCAGCGTGGCTCCGGGAGACATCCAGTCAAACAGCAGCAGCCTCGTGGCCAAAGGGTGTTCTTTCCTGTTGCTCTGAAGACTGCACAGGCTGTGGCACAGCTCAGGCCTGAGCGAGCAGGAAGCAGAAACAGGCCTGTGATCCAGCCGCCGCCGCCTTAGCACCGCCAGCCGACGCCCGCACCTTCCGTAGCCGCCCAGGTCTAAGCCCAGGCCCTTCCTCTAGTCGCAAGCGCAGCAGGCAGCGAGGGCGAGAGGAGCGTGGGGGCACGTTTCTCTGAAGGGGTTACTAAGGATATAGAGTTAGACTTTTTGCTGCTTTCGTTTTCTTCCAAGCCAGTCAGCCAGTTGCTAGCAGTCGGCAGGTCAACAGGACCCAGAGTCATTTCTCGGTGTGAGCACTGGAGCTTTCTGAGGACAGCGTGGCAGGGAGGGGCGGGGGCAGGACGCCAGGTATTTCCAGGGCTACACGTCACTGTTTGTCGTTGCTTCGTTCTGTTAGATTGTTGGTTGTTCAGTTTTTGTTGAAGCTCTAGCTTAAGAAGAAACTTTTTCTAAAAAAAGACTGATTGGGGATTTTTTTTTTCCTTATTATATACTGATTCTACAAAATAGAAACTACTTCATTTTAATTGTATATTATTCAAGCACCTTTGTTGAAGCTCAAAAAAAAAATATGCCTCTTTAAACTTTAGCAATTATAGGAATATTTATGTAACTATCTTTTGCTTCAAAAAAAAACAAAAGTATTTGTGTGCGTGTGTATATAATATATATATATACATATATATTTATACACATACAGTTTATGTTTTCCTGTTGAATGTATTTTTATGAGATTTTAACCAGAGCAAAGACAAACAGGCATTCCATATCAGTGCTTTCGATCACTTATAAATTTTTGAATAACACAAAATCTCATTCTACCTAAAGCCGAATGGGGAAGAAAGATGTGTGCAAGTGTGTGTCCGCACACGCCCTGGGCCGTCAGCGTCACACCTGCTGTGGAGAGGGGTTCCTTAGTGAATCTTCATTCGGATTTGCTTTCAGTTGGTTTTCAATTCGCTCCACTGGCCAGAAACATTGATGACAGTTTATCTTCATCAGCTCCTGGATGTTTGTTTTTTTTTCAAACAACTGTTTGAAACAACTACTGGAATATTGTCCATAATAAGCTGGAAGTTTGTTGTAGTTTGCCTCAAATATAACTGTATACTATAGTGTTAACTTTTCAAACAGCTCTTAGCACTTTTATACTAATTACCCATTTGTGCATTGATTTTTTTTTTTTCTTTTAAAAATGCTTGTTGTGAAAGACACAGATACCCAGTATGCTTAATGTGAAAAGAAAATGTGTTCTGTTTTGTAAAGGAACTTTCAAGTATTGTTGTAAATACTTGGACAGAGGTTGCTGAACTTTAAAAAAAATTAATTTATTATTATAATGACCTAATTTATTAATCTGAAGATTAACCATTTTCTTTGTGTTAGAATATCAAAAAAGAAAAAGAAAAAGGTGTTCTAGCTGTTTGCATCAAAGAAAAAAAAGATTTATTATCAAGGGGCAATATTTTTATCTATTTCCAAAAATTAAATTTGTTAATGATATGTTACCAAAATAGATTTACATCAGCCTGATTATTATAAAATTTTGTTGACAATTAATCCATTCCTGGCATAAAAAGTCTTTATCAAAAAAAATTGTAAATGCTTGCTTTTTGTTTTTTCAATCATGGCCATATTATGAAAATACTAACAGGATATAGGACAAGGTGTAAATTTTTTTATCATTATTTTAAAGATATGATTTATCCTGAGTGCTGTATCTATTACTCTTTTACTTTGGTTCCTGTTGTGCTCTTGTAAAAGAAAAACAAATATAATTTCCTGAAGAATAAAATAGATCTATGGCAGGCACTTGGCGTGTACTGTAGTTCTTCAGTTTGTTTTGTTCTCTTCAAGAACCAAAGCTGTAAGGGGATGGTCTGCAATCTGGTTCTTGGCAGCAGATAAACACTTTGAATCTTAAATCACACAATTTAACTTTCAGAATACTTCCACAACATTTGGGATTAGAAAGACAAGTTGTCCTTTCGTTTTCAGTCTGACGACCCCCCAGGCCACAAGCAGCTACGTGCAGTCTAACCGCACCTTGTCTAAGGGCACGCGGCCGCGGGCGCTGTTACAAACGTCTCGGACGGAGAAAGAGCAAGACTCCAGGCAGAAGCAGCTCAGCACAACCTGGAAAGCCCCTCCCCCGCTCCCACCCTGTAGTGATGGACAGTGTGTAGGATAGTAAGGGGGAGAAGCTAGCACTGCAAGGGAAGAGAATCATTAAAAACTACACCAAAAACTCTGAAAATAAAGCTCTCAAGCATACATTCTTATTTTTTTCAACATTTATTAAAGGACACTGCCTTGGTTAGAACTAGCAAGTGTTCCGTGACTGTGATGTATCCATGAGCAGCTGTTTCTAGAATCAGTGCTTTGGGGAAACACGGGCATGAATAAAGCACAACAGGAGGGGACGGGCAGCGCAGCGTACGGTTTCAGCACCTTAACGACACGGACTCCTCTTCAAGGGCACTTCTCCAGACACGCATGAAAGACAACTTCAGGTTACAGAACAAAAGATTCTGAAAGTAAATGGCAACTTAATGGTTACAGTTTGATGAATGGTGAAACACGGGCCACCTCTCAAACCAGTCAGTGTCAACAGTGTCGGCATTCTCTAAGCATTAGGCCAAGGTAACACCTATTCTGCTTCTGCTGCTTCTGAACTGCCCAAGTTTCAGTCTCTGGACAATACTGGTCGGTGATATTTATATTGACAATTTCGAAAAATCAGTGTTGGTTTCTGCCATCACTGAAGAACAGCTACAGTATAAATCTCCATGCTTTACTCCAGTCCTTCAATGTAGTTTAGATCTAGAAAGCCATAAAAACTCAGTGGGTAATGGTCAGTTAACAAAAATTTTAACTGCACATGCATAGCTAATACTACATCCTCTTACTCTACAAAGTGGAAGAGGAGCTCATAATTGTTAGTACTTAACCAAAAAAGTTCCTAGAATTCAAAATAGTGCCATAATTCCTCTTGGTTCATAATATACAGAGTTGGTGAAAGTGTGATCTATTAATACTGAGTCACAAACCCAAGTTCAAGTGCACTGAGATTCGGACCGCAGGAAGGGGAGGGGCGGCTCCAGCCGCTGCAACTGGGGAATCGGCTTCTTGCCCAGGAAGTTCCGGTGTGGATTCCGACAGCAGGAAGGGGAGGGGCACGGGAACCCTGCTGGTGTGGATTCCAACAGCAGGAAGGGGAGGGGCACGGGAACCCTGCGGGGCTTCTCGTCCACGTCCGAGGGCCTGCTGCCCTATGTGGGGCACAGAACTAGAGGGAGACACAGAAAACTTAAATAGAAACTGATCTCTTGTACATATTTACACAAGATATACATTTTATATACATCTTACATCTATATAAAAAATACCATTAATGAGAACTAAATATGAATGCAGGGATCTATAGTAGCAATTTTAAAGAAGGGTTTAAAGGGCTACACCCAACAATAAAACATTCTCTTAAAACACACTGCTGACCACTCATGAGGTAACTGGTGTTTTCCTGCCCAAACGTTGCTGACCGCTCGCTCACGAGGTAACTTGGGTCTGCACTTGCATTAGCTATTTCAATTTTTGAAACGAGGGTAACATAGGATTATTATCTTTGTGACTCTTCACCCTGAGGGTCGAAGTTCAAAAAACAGCTCACGTTCTGTGTTCTTGAAGTCGCTTGGGAGTGGGTGTCTGCTGGTTCAAATGAGCGCAGCTCAGAACCTACCACTCTGGTCCTTCTCAAGGAGCTCCTGACACGATTCACCTGTTAGGCTTTCAGGGCAACTGAAAGACCATGTTTTAGAAAAAAGAGTCACTGGTGTAAAAAAAAAAAAAAAAAAATCCAACTAGAGCATGTAAAGTGTGTTTCAAAAGGCGAATGCTATACAGTATACCACACCAAAAAAATTACTGAAAAATAACATATGGATAAAATATAATATGTAGCAGCTATGTACAAAGTTTCATTTAAATTCATTATGTATAAACAAAGTATCCTGAAGTTTATTATATTGTTTCACTTTCATACGCAATTACGAAAAAAGAGCCGGTGACCTGAGGTAACTTCGGCGTGAAACTGCAGGTCAACAGTGTGGTAAGACATCTGTCCAGAAAGGAGATACGAAAGGCCATGTCTCTTAGGGTACACTTAGAAGCCCCGCACGGTAGCTCTCTGCGGGGGCTGTGACAAAGCAGACTCCTTGGAACTCAGCTGCCGGTGTGCACGCGCCCTGTCCCTCTGGGGTGAGCACAGTGGCCGCGGGCACGACACTGCCAGCCCTGGAGCTGACTGCGGCAGGGGAGTGAAGCGGGGGCAGGAGGAGCTCGAGGAGCCCCAGCAGCCGCCCCATCTTCCTCAGGCCATGGGACCACTTTTGTACCTTCTTGAACTTCCCACCTGCACGCTGAAATTAAGGGTGTACTTGGGCAGCCGTGCCAGTCACTGGTGTTGGCGACAATGAGAAGGTCCACCAGGACAGGGAAGGCAAGTACCCCACGGGGAACACCCGTCCCTGGCGAATGTTCTGCTGCTGGCCCCAGAGGGAGGACCCTTCAGCTGCGGTGGGTTTCCGGATGGGTGGAAACTGGCTCTGAAACCACCCACACCCTGCACCTTCCCATGCACCTGACCCTCTGAGCATTACACTCCTCTCCCCCGTCTCCTTGGACGACAGTGTCCCCACTTCCATCCGAACCCTTGCTTCTTTCCCACCCAGCCCTCACATCGAAGCCAGGACGAACCACAGCGCGCAGACCAGCCCGGGCTCCCGGAGGCGCTGTGGCCTGTGCACTGGAGCGGTTGGATGGGTGCTGCCTCCCCGAGGCACACAGCGCAGGTCCCCAGTTATAGCCTGGGTTCTACAGGGGAAAATTAAACATCATTTTCCCCCAGCGCGCTCTGTTCTCTGGATCATAAAATTCTTCCATGAAGTCAGATGATAAAACAGCTAGAGAATGCTCCAGCAGCTCATTCTTTCTCTGCCCTCATGCCAAGGCCCTAGGGACCCAGGATAATTAAAAACTGACATGTTCTTTATGTTCATCTCATTCCTGTCTCACATCTAGGAGAACAAACCTCAGAACAATCCAGCTTTCATACCAATGCTAGCACAACACTAAAGTAAACAAAGATGTTAAAAAAAAACTCAGAATGTAATAAGAAAAAGCCTTCCACCAGAAAAACAGCTTATGGAAAAACCGATGTCTTTCTATGCGCTGTTCACCAAAGGCTGGCCGGCTCCGCATCACGTCTCCTGCAGGCTCTGCATTGCCCTGAGCCCTCGTGCCCAGCTCTGAGACTTCCTCTGGACGAAGCTGGGGTGGAAGAGCCGCCCCATCCGAGTCAGCCGACACCCCGAAGCCCCGCCTTCCCCGTGCACGGCTAACAGCAGAGGAGAGAACCACGGGAAGGAAAGCTACCAGAAGGGCTTGCTCTTTAGAGTGGACCGAACGCTACAGGACACATATTGTGATGCTTTGAAAACCTGTCACCTGAATAACTGCTACTTTACAGAAAGTAACTGCCCTGAGAAGTGTTAGTTTTGCCTATAATTAAATTCCCCGGCCCCCTCTTTACCGTCCGTTTCGCTCTTCCCTGAGCAGAGCGGGCAACCTCACTCCCTCCTCGCCTCATCGCCGTCGCCCTCCTGTCGATCTCGACCCTGCTGAGATCTACGGCTCATCTCTACTGTCCTGGTTCACGGAAGTCCATTCTTCTCATTTTGTCCTGCACCCCCCTGGCCCTTGAAACAACCCTTGTTATAGTTCCTCTGGAACTGTTAGCGGACTGTTCCCACCTCCAGGCTCCTCAATAATCCGTCCTCCTCTTCCTATTGTCCCCATGGTGGCACAAACCACCCTTCCCAAACCCTCCCCGTGTCAACCGCTGAGACCCTACTTATTCACAATTCAGGCAATGTTTCCCTAATCCCCCCACGCCCTGCCTCGACCTTTACAGTTCAGTCGTGGAAATGACGTCCAGCCCAGGCCTCAAGCAGAAGGTGACTTACACAGGCCTCATTGGTAGCGTGATTCAGCCATGTACCCTCACCCGGCACAAGTGGGATGACCAAGGTGGTGGTTCTGAAAGTGACTGTCCCGCCAGCGAGACGACGCATTTCCTGCGCGGCCCGAACTTCCCGCAGGGCTCCGAGCCCGAGGAACTCACCTTTCAGAATATAATCCGTTAACAAGCTCGGAACTTTTTCGCTGTCCTCTTTCATGGCACGAAGAACTACGAAAGAGAAGAGAAAGGCAACAATTCTAAATTCAGAGAAAAAATATTTAATTTCAATCGCTCTAGCCTTAATCTTCACTAATTACATGGTATAACCAATTAATGCAAATTACTATTTTCTAGGGAAGGGAATACGCCTGCAAACGCTCCAGAACTGGAGCTGACTGAGTCCTTATGCGGGTAAGGCTACTGCAGTTCCCAAGAGCTGTTGCCCCGGTTTCACAATCAGTGCAGCCAGGACAGAGGCGGGTTGTTCGCACGGGGCCGAGTTTTGGCACAAAGGCCGGAGAGCAAGCTCCCACCGTGTGCACGTCTGGGGACTGAGGGACAGGAGAGCCTGGGGGCTGCAGATGTCAGAGCTGGACAGAGTCTTCGGTGAGTGTCTGCCAGCCTTCTTGGAAACGGCTACAGAAAAGACCAAAATGAAGACAGACATCCTCTGAGCAGCACCTGCCAGGCGCCTCCTCCTTCTAACTACTGAGGAACCTGGGCTGAATCAGCCTCATCCTAAAGGGAGCCTGACAATTGTATCTCTAAGCAAAGACAAAACAGAAAAAACAGCTACTATTATAGTGGTTTAAAAAAAAAAAATCTAAACCACCCAGGTACAGATAAACCCACAAACAAATACTGTAATTCTGCAGCGACTGCCAGAGCATGCCGGGAAAAAGCGCCTCACTATTTCCCCCCAAACATATGACAATACTACCCAGCGGAACTGTCAAGTCAGCCTGCCTGGGTTTAAACCCCGGCTCTGCTGCTTCCTAGGCGTGGACTCGGAGCAAGTTACTTAACCACTCAGGGCACCCAGTTGCTCATGAGGTCAGACTGTCGCAAAGGCTTACTGAGTGTTCAGTTACTAATTCAGATGTACAGGGCTTGGAATAGCGCCTGGTACATAACGCATGCTACGCAAGCATTAGCCATAATTATTAACATGACTAATAGCACTTTAATTATTATTGTACCTCAATAGCTTTTACCAGTGAAGCTATATAACCTTAAACACTGTCCACACAGAGCCCTGTGGCTACCATCTCCAGGTGGTGGGAGCAGAGACGCAGGTGCTCCCCAAAGTTCTCAGGAGATAACCACTTTTTGATTTTCAAAGTGAAAGTCACCCTTCCATCCAGTCTTCACCACAGTCCTGGCTCATAACTATGTTAGCGCAGACAGTCACTCACACACCTGCACACGTTCACTCACCCAGATTCCAAGCTGCATCACACCATGAAGATTCCATCTAGGAACTGGCCCAGGGACATTCTGATATGAACATTCTGATGACCATGGTTTGACCAAGTAAATGTTCGTCCTCAATCTGAGAAGGCGGGGTCTCTCAGTAATTCCTAACTTCTAGGCAGTATTTATGTTCCCATCTTAGAGGGCTACTATGTCCAGCATTTCTGCTTCCAATCATATTTTAGATTTGTTTTCAATTCTATATAAAATCACATACCAAAAGCCAACATCATTAAAAGTACAGTAGACTGGGAATTAAGAGACCCGGTCCTGTAACTAACCATTCCCCTGTGTGATCTTGGACACGCAAAACTTCATGAGTTCTTCCTGAAAATTAGAGGGCTGGCCACCCAGTTACTCTCTTAATTCTTTATTTTAGACTGGCTGGCATCACTTGACTGATCCATATTTAAGCATTAAGTGTTTTTGAAGTATTAGTCTCCAGGGTGTCAATGGAGGTGGGGGGGGTGGAGAAGGAGGGACATCTGTCATGCTTTCAACATCAAAGATTTTAAAAAGAAAAATCATTAAATTATCATTAATAACAATAAGTATTAGTCTCCGAAGGAATGACTAAAAGCTTCCGGTCAGCAGGCAGGCAGCTAGTGAATAAGACCCTCACGGTTTCCTCGTGCCTCCCCGACCCGTCTCCATGTCATTCATTTCCAAAATACCCATGTACGTGATGCTGTGGCACCTGGCTCCCCTTTACCATCAGGCGTTTACAGTGAGAAAGAACCTAACATATCAGCAAACTCGATCCCTTTAGAGAAACAAGGCAGGGTATGGAGCTACCCCACATCACATGTGCAGGACAGGGCAAACGCAGGTTTATAGCTGTGAGTACGTGAAACACAGCTTATTCTTGTATTATTATTTATTAATTATTGTATTATTTTCCATATGAACGCTGTAAACTACGTTTGCCCCACCCTGTACATTAACTTGTTTACTATGAGGTAAGGAGAGCAATTATTTTAGCCTCGTTGTTCATGGTGACTAGGAGAGAGAGGGTAAGTGACTTCCAAGGACATCCCTGTAAATGACAGGACTAGAACCAGAATGCAGGGCTCGCGTATGGCTATCATGAAAGACACCTGACATCATGTACAGTTACGTCTGACAAGTTACTTTTGTTAGACTATTTTTGTCTGCTTTGTTCACTAAAGTATCTCAAGTGCCCAGAACATGACCCAATACACAGTAAATCTTCATCAAATGTTTTCTCAGTGAATGAATATTCTTAAATTGATATTTATGTTCTACCTTAACTACCACCTAGGGTTCTACATTCATAAAAGAGAGAGAGAGAGAGTTAGCCATACTTCTAAATCTTTCCTCTTCAGTTACTGACAGTCATATTGACATGTGGTCCATGAAGCACCTTATTTATTGATAAGTGAGTATGTTCCTAAACATACAAAAGGTAATGGAGAATCAAGATACATTTTTTTCCCCAAAAGCTCAGCTTGTACATATTTTAAGAGGCCAGAAAATAAAAACATAAATCAACTCTAGTTTTGTGTTAGATGTCATAACCATTTATTTCATTCTCAAAAGAATAAAGGATGACCTCTATCATTTATTACCCCAAATCAATAAAACAAAACAAAAATAGCAAGTAGTCAGCCAACTAAAATCAGTATTTAGAATCAGCAAAGGGTAAGTAACAGTTCAATTTTGTCTTTACTCACTTTTTGTTAATATTTGAAGATCTTCAACAGATGGTGGTCCATTTTTTTTCTCATAAGGAATAACTGTCGTCAAGTACTGCCAAGTTTAAAAAAAAAAAAGTGTCACTTAAATCTGAACTATCTAAACTGCCAAAATTAGAGACAATTACCAGGGGTCTACTTTATAACATGAAATATGAGTTACTTTAGTAATGAACACAGGTATCTTACTGTCTCAGCTGAAGCTCATTTTTTACCCATGTCTATCTGCTGCATTCAAGCCCAGTGTCAACATAAATATTCATTTTTTCACCTTTCAGTTATTAAAAATTTCACAGGAGTAAGTCTGAGGATGATTTATTTGTTCAATTTGTTCATTTTTAAAGTGAAGTGTTATCTAACATTCCCCTTGTATATTGTTCAACACATTTTTAAAACAGTAATTTTAACTAAAGACATAGTTGTAACAGTACTGCATAAAAAATGTTCCCAACAGTCAAATAATTCTGTTTCAGACCATTTTTTTCTGGTTGAACAAAATGGTCACACAAATGACTTGACAACTATAAAACATGTACCAGCTTCTTTGAGAAACTATCAAAGACACATTTACCCAAATAATTTAAGAGGTGTATTATTATTATTGTTGTTATTATTTTAAATTATTGTGTAAGTAGTTATAACTGTTTAAAGGTATTAGGAAAAGAGAAAGTGAAAGAGAGAATGGCCTAAGGGGAAATGAACAACAAAAACTCATGTCTGAAATTGAGACAAACTACCTAGTGTATTAGTGTAATGGCTCTCAAGTATCAGAGTTATATCCTGTAACTATATCCCACGAACGTACAATCTAAAAATTATTGTCCAGATTCTCCTATTCTGGCCACTCCACCAAAAAAAAATACACAGTTTACTGCAGTCTGCATATACTAGTTTTCCTTGCAACCTCTTCAGCCCCTCCTCCCATTACTTAGCCCCTGCCCCACATCTCAGCTCTTGTTCCTAATCCTCTTTGAGTGATTTTATCCCACTCATAATGATAAAAAACAACAACATAGAGTTACTTAGCAATAACTGGATCCCCAGGTTCAGAAAAGCAGAAAAAGTGTAACTTGTTCAATCTTTAAGAAGCTTAGTTTTCTATCATCTTTTTGGTGTGGGCCTCTCCAAGGTGATGCCAATTGTATAACCAAGCATGTTTCTTGTGTAGAAAACCCCAAAAGCCGGCAGCGCCCACCTGGGCGCACAAGGCAGGCACTGCAGACAAGCGGAGGAGCACCAGGGCGCCATCCGGCGCGCACACTACCGCTGCACTTTCAAGCCCTCCTGCCCGCTCCCAGGTGCTGCTCAGTTTGGAGGTTATTTTGCCATCTTGTGGATTTGAGAGAGGTGAGAAGCACCAGAATTTTTAAAAATTTCAACCATCCCTGCAGGAAACCCTTTTATAAGCTGCAAATGTCCGTGTGAAGGGTTATTTGATGTTGATTATTTCCCTTAAGTAATACAGACTATCTGCAGTGCCTTCTTCTAGCGAACCGCCCGCAAGCTGCACTCTGCACACTCCCTCAATCTTCGCCTAAGAGCCAAAATGAAGAGTTTTCTTTTTGAGGTGAAAATTTCAAGTTGTGAGAAGTAATTTTAAGCACACTCAATGCAGATGTGTTTCCCATGTTCGTGATATTCCTGAAATCTTTATACAAATTTGTTAATATAAAGCAAACTGCTACACTCACATCCATGTGTGATTTTATATAAATAATGTTTCATGTCTTTGGTAAACAAATGAGTTGGCTAACTATATGATACAACTTGAAAATACACAAATATCATTTAAAAGGAGGTAGAATGTATCTACAGACATTTCTGACCTAGTACTTTAATCTAAAAGATATCAACACCTGGCTTTCTTTCCCTAAAATGAGACCCGTTTCTTAAACTTTCAGAATTAAAGTAGCATATTTTAGTTATTTTTTCACAATTATATAGTCTACACATGCAATTAATTATGTGTATATGTTAATATCTATTTGGTTAAAAATGAGAGTGAAAAACAGAGCTCTAAAACATGCATTCAGAATGCATTTAGTCTATACTGTACAATTTGAAAATGCTTTTTCCAAAAGGGAAATTCTATGCATTATCAAGACTATACATATAATAAACTTTCTTACCTCTTTTAAGCAATAGTCTTAGTAAATTAGTAAAACCTGTTTTCAGGACCTTCACTTACACAGAGAACAAAAAAGCAGAGAATGAGAAAAATAAGGATAACCGAGCACCTGTTTCTCTCCACCTGAATTCCCAAAGGTGTGGCGGAGGCCATTCTGAATGACATGGGAGATCCCCTCCATGCTGAAGCGCTAAGGCAGCAATAGACAGCCCGGAAGAAAAGGACAGAGAGAAGTCAGAGACTATTAGTAAGAATGTACCACAGTGACTTATGTATGTGCCCAAGAGGCAAGCAGTTAGAAAATGCCACTACTCATTCAGATAAAACAGACAAATTCATGCTGTTTAAAATGTTTTTTTCCCCATTTCTTTGCAAGTCAAATGCTTTTATGTCACTATATTCATGAAGATTTTTCCTAACATAGCTGATAAATTTGCTCCAATGTAAACATTGTAAGTTGTACACATATTTATTTATGCTATATAAAATTTAGCATAGTTTTAAAGATACCTTTTGATATTGTTTACCTGATTTTATCAAAAGTCTGAAAACCTAATACCAACAGTATACATATTTTCAGCCTGAGTTTGCATATTTCTACCATAAGTTTGGAGAACGTTAACATAGCACTTGGCAAATGAAATGCTGTTACTTGGAGAGCTGATGACTGCTTCCCACTTGCTTTCGGGACACCTGTCACTGCCCTGGTGCAAAGTGGGAACCAGAGAACACAGTGGATCCCAGTGGGCCAGCCAGGCCCCTAACTCTTCTGCAAAGACTTTCCCCACAATTCTAGCTCCCTTCTCCCAGCAACCTCCAAGACTTCCTAGAATTCACTGTGCCGAAAAGGGAATATTTCTTTCCAGACATCTTATCTTGATGTGTGGCCAGTGTACCGTGTCATCAGACACAGTGAAAAGTGTCCAGTGGCACCTCAATGGCTGCTGAGTCAAAGGATTGAGCTGAATCCCAACACCATGACTAGTTCAGAGGAAAGGCACCCTGCAAAGGAAGTTCAGTATGGAGTCACCGAATGGTTTCTTTCCCTGGAATTTTACAGGGGAAAGTTAACTCAGTAAACACATTTGAGAAATTGAGATAAAGAACAGTTTACAATGCTCCCAGGAACAGAAGAAAAGAAATCAAGGCAGTGGTCTTTGCCCTCAAGAAATGCATAGTTTAGCCCAGTGGTTCTCAAAGTGTGGTCCAGGGAACACCCCCAAGAGGTCCCAGAAACCCCTTTCAGGGGTCCATTTCTAAATTATTTTCTTAGAAATACGAAGGCATAATTTTTTCACTCTCCTTCTCTAATGACTTAGAATGAAATATTCCAAATGACAAACTGAATGCAGAAACAGATCTGAAAATCTAGCTGAATTCCATTAAGTAGATATTAATGAAATGGACAAAAATGCATAGCAATGTCATTTTGCTCGATAAACTTTTTGAAATATAGTTATTTTTCATAAAAATACTATGTATGTAAGCATTAATAAATTTCTTGTTGGTATTTTTAAATGAATAATTATATTAAATTTCTATCAGCTTTAATTTCTGATACAATAAATATCAATATATAATATATAACCTACATAAAATATAACTTAAAGAAACAAAAACTCTTTCGGGTCTTCAGCAAATGTTAAGAATAGGAAGAAGTCCCGACAAGCTGGGAAAGGCCAGAAGCGGTCACCTCGGAGGCGCGAGGCGCGTCTGCCGGAGGCCACAGCAGGGGCCTCTCCTGGACCATCCTTCTTCCCCACCCACCTGCCAGGCTGGGTTTCAGAGAGAATCAGTGTCTGGTCAAGACAACTGGACTGAACAAGCTTCACTGCTGACAGCGTAACTGTTACCAGAGATGTATAACTGAACCCTAATCTAAGATACCAACACCTGGCTTTCTTTTTTGTAAAAGAAAAACATACCGAGAACTATTTTTGTCGATTTTTCAAGTGCTATCATATAATCTGTTCACATTTTTAAAACAGATTTTCAAAAGAGATGACTTATCTTGTTTCAGAATCTATATAAAAATTACGAGAAACTCTTCAAATAAATGTCAACTCATTTTTAAAAATTCTATTAAAGGTATTTCCTTTCAAAAGCAACAGAGAAAAAAATACTTAATTTTCTATATTATCTGACTCCATTATCTATGGGCACAATAAAACCAGATATAAATTCAGAAAATCTCAAGCAATAAGAGAATTTTAGAATCCGTGTATCAGGAAACTAAAGTATACTTTATATTTGAACATCACATCCAAAAAACACTATCTTTACTTTTACTCTGCCACTTGGAAATCTAATTTCTATTTCTATAAAAAAAATTAGGTTTATGCAAATTCTTAAATTCCAAAGATATATATGTAATTTACGTCTCTACACTAAATATGCAGTTGTCAATACTGCTGAGCCATTTCAACTACAGTAGCCTGACTACTTCTGAGAGATAACTTTGATGAAACTCCAGGCTTGGTGGAAATAAAAGAAAGTGCAATCATGTGAAGCCACAGTAACTCAGAAAAACACAAAACTAACAGCGGATCTTAGCTCTCTGCCCTTTGACTGACGACGGCTGAGTCAGTAGCTGTGGCCAACCAGGCCCCACTGCTTCCTAACCAGGCAGTGACATGGCAGTCAGGAAGGTTCTCCTGCTCCTGTTCCACTGGAGAAAATGACAAGAAAACCAGAGGGCTCCTGGGAAATACAAAGAAACAGAGCTCTCTCTGGCTGCCATCAACTCCCACCTCCCCAGGAATCACAAAGTAACAATGTTCTGCCTTCACTGCACTTTCAAACTCTCCCTTCTCTGCCAGCCTAGCTCTTTCCCAAGGGCACCTGTAAATTATCAAACCCTCAGCCTGGTTCCTTTCCTCAGTTTCCTCAAACAGTTCTTCCCAGGTGTCATTCCTTTGATGCTGAGGTCTCCAGACACCTTTCAGATCGGGGACATCAGCACTCTCCTGCGTCCCCACCCCCACCTCTCTGGCTGCCCTTCTGTGCTCATCTCTCACGTGCCAGGGTCCCCAGAATTTTGCCCTCTCTCTCAGTGTTCCCACTCGATGGTTCTCACTTTTGCCTCCATAAACTACAGTTCTACTTTGCTAAGATCAGTAAAATGCTAAGAACAGAGACTAGCACATCGGAAAAACTCAGTAAACATTAGCTATCTTTATTGTAATTAATTTCCCTCCTGACTAGTATGTTTAATGGCTTATTGGACTGGACACCTGTACCTCAATATTTCTAAAACTCATTATATATCCAAAAGTGAATTCCTCCTCCTCTCCCTCACCAAAAAAAATCAAACAAAAATAAAAAACAATAAACCTGTTCTTCCTCCAGCATTCAATACCTCTCATTCATTTACTCATTCGTTCAACAAATAAATTGAGCGACATATTCTTGCAGGTATTAAGGATTCAAAGTGAGCACATCAGCCAAGACCCCTCCCACCCTCACGAGCTGACATGAACTAGAAAACTGCAGACAGCGGGTGTCCTGCCGATAGCTACAACAGGGCACATGAAAACCGCATGCTTACTTTGTACTAGGTCAGAGAAAAGTTCTCTGACGAGGTGACATCTGAGCTGAAACATGAATTGCACAGCCTCCCAGATACGCTACAAAGGACAATGGACAAAAGAGATCCTCTCAGACAACAAAACCCAAAGCAGCCAAAGTGGCCAACCTAGGAGTTCCCTGTGCAGCCAGTGTGCAGGGGTCCTGCCATTCTCCAGCAGGACGTCAAACAGTAGCTACTGACAACTTCCCTTCTCCACACCTCCCTGGAAGTTTCGCTGCAGAGCCCGGCTCCCTCCTCTCCCCTCCCCTGTGTGCGGATGTGCTGGGATGGAGGCTTGGCCTCTGCACCATCAGGGCTGCATCGGGACTGATGGAAAGGGCAGCCATTCCCCAAAGATGGTGCCTTGAGGCGGGATGCAGTCAGGCTTCACGAGACCTGCACGGCACCCTTTGGAGAAGGGGTACAGGTGTTCCAGCCATACTTGCCAACTCAGAAATCAGTGACCTGACCCTAATTCCTCCTGGTGCCCAAACCAATCCAGTCAACCTCCTTAATATCGCTGAAATTTAACTACTTCTCCATCCCTGCTAACACTTCCTTGCAAGTTTCTTACCTGAATGACTGCCACAGCCTCCAAATCAATTCTTTATCCCTAGCTGTCTCCTTCCAAGTTCTCTTTGCATCACTTACATTATCCTTCCAAAAGACTAATCTGAACATGTAACCACTCCCTTAAAACCTCTTTTTGGTTTCCCATAGCTTTTAAAATCAGACTAAGTTCCCTGGCCAGTTTGGCTCAACGGTTAGAGCGTCGGCCTGTGGTCCAGAGAGACCCGGGTTCGGTTCCCGCTAAGGACGCGTACCTCAGTTGCAGTTTTTCCCCTGCCCTGGTTGGGTCATATGGGTGACAGCTACTCGATGTGTCTCTTTCACGTCGATGTTTCTCTCTCTCTCTCTCTCTTCCTCTCTCTCCCTCCCACTCTATCTGAGCAAAAATGGAAAAAATGTCCTCGGGTGAGGATAAAAAAAATAAAATACAGGCTACATGACGTAGCATGGTGCACAAAGCCATCCATTTTCTGGCTACTAGCTGGATACTTGCACATCCTCTTTTTTACTTACTTCTTCCCTCTCCTCCTAGCTTTCTCTTTGAACTTCTAGTCATAATGAACAACCTGCAGTTCTCCAGATGTCCCTAACTGTCACCTCCAGGTGACAGCCCATACCACTCCCAACGCTTCGTATGCCTGTCCCCCCCATTGTTCTTCCCATCCTCAGGAGTCAGCTCAGCCTTCCCAGACCCCCACACCAAACCACAGCCAACAGCAAGGCACGCACACCTCTACCGCACACCTCTACCGGGGCCGGGCCAGGGACAAAAAGCACTACAAGCAATGATCACAGTATACCTGAGTCTCTCAACCTCGACATCACTGACATTTCAGGTATACTAGTCTCCGCTCTGGGGGCAGTCCCATGCACTGCTGGCATTTATTTAAATGGCATCTCCAGCCTCTACTAAGCAAGACACCACTGGCACTGCCCCCACCCCACCCAGTGTGACTATGACAAACTTTTCCAGACGCTGCCTAATGTCTGGTGGGGGTCACGCTGGCCTGGGTGAGAATCACTGCATAAGGTCCAGTAAATGGTTTGTCCTC